ACCACAAACCTAGGGCCGCCACAAACATAGGGCCACCACAAACATAGGGCCACCACAAACCTAGGGCCGCCACAAACCTAGGGCCGCCACAAACCTAGGGCCACCAACACAGCCACCACAAACCTAGGGCCACCACAAACCTAGGGCCGCCACAAACCTAGGGCCACCACAAACCTAGGGCCAACAACACAGCCACCACAAACCGAGGGCCAACACAAACCTAGGGCCGCCACAAACCTAGGGCCGCCACAAACCTAGGGCCGCCACAAACCTAGGGCTACCACAAACCTAGGGCCACCACAAACCTAGGGCTACCACAAACCTAGGGCCACCACAAACCTAGGGCCACCATAAACCTAGGGCCAACAACACAGCCACCACAAACCTAGGGCCACCAACACAGCCACCACAAACCTAGGGCCACCACAAACCTAGGGCTACCACAAACCTAGGGCCGCCACAAACCTAGGGCCGCCACAAACCTAGGGCCGCCACAAACCTAGGGCCGCCACAAACCTAGGGCTACCACAAACCTAGGGCCGCCACAAACCTAGGGCCGCCACAAACCTAGGGCCGCCACAAACCTAGGGCCAACATAAACCTACAGCCACAAACCTAGGGCCGCCACAAACCTAGGGCCAACAACACAGCCACCACAAACCTAGGGCAACCAACACAATTTTAAAGCAGGACATCCTATCCTATAGCACGTTAATAACATAGTCACTAAAGAGAGCAGCTGTAATAAATGTACAGCCGACCTACCAATCTAAAATAGAAACAGCGATGGTGTGTGCTTCTATCGATGGAAAGTTCAGTCAGTTTGTGGGATGTTAGCGACACAAACTTACTTCCGTGAGTACATTTTGTTACCTTGACAGTATGGGCGTCAGGAAAATTAAAAATAGAGTAATAATTTTAATCAAACAATTAGGCTACTTCATCATTAAATCTGGTATTTTGTCCCATTGGGACCTAAGGGGTCGTCCATAAATGACGTCACACTCGTAGGGGGGAGGGGGGTCCGTATTTTTGTGACGGTGTGTGATGAGGGGGAGGGGGGGTTCAGATGGCGTGAAGTCACTTATTTGCATTATAAATAAACCGGGAGTGATCTCCCCTAAACTTTCTCGAATCTTCTTATATAAAATAACAGGGGAGGGGAACTCGGGCTATATATATATACGAGAAAGTAAAAATGTCAATAAAAAGTTGTTTTTTTCCTACGTGGTCTAGTAAGCCTGCAAGCACAAAGAGATCTGCTCAGGGGAAACTACTCTACAAAAATGTGTACGTAAGACAAACATAGTTCGTTCCCTTATAGTTACAGAAGTATCAAAAGACGGGTAAAAACTAGAAGAAGCAACATCTTTTTACTTTCTCGTAGACCTATATACAAAGTATAGAGAAAGTCTTGTAATCGTGCAAAAAAAAAAAAATCGAGATTTTTACAAATCTCGACGTTTTACGCCTCACTGATACGGAAAAATATAATTTTGCAATCTTGTCCGTATGTCTGTGTGTCTGTCTGTCTGTCTGTGTGTCCGTGTGTAAACACGATAACTTGAGTACCGTTACAGCTAGGTTGATGAAATTTCATATAAAAGTATTTTATCAAAATCATAGATCCGTATCAACTTTTGAGCGATTTCCGATAACCGGAAGTGGTACTTTTCCTACTTTGAATTTTTCAAAAGTCTATAACCTGAGTACTATTTCAGATAGATAAATGAAATTTCACATGTAAGAAAAAGATCTAATTCTCTACCTTCTGTTAAATTTTAAGTAATTTCCGTTGACCGGAAGTAGTAATTTACGCTACTTCCGATTTCTCAAAAAACTAATGTAAATTTTTAAAGTACTAATAATATTGCGCACTATTATGCACTTTTTTATTTGGCGTTCACTTGGTGTGCTATTCTTTTGTCTACGAGATTTTATTCTATTTTTAAAACTTTAAGTATTTAAAATGGATTAAAAATCATGTCTATAGCCCGAGTTTCCATCCCCTGTTATTTTATCCTAATATATAAAAGACCATGTGCGCACTTCTCTCTCTCTGTCCGCAAAATATTTTTCGCCGGACATCACGTCAGAATCGGCAGCGATACATGGAGAACTTGATACGAATTTTTGTTGAAAATAATATGGTAGATGTTTTAAATGTATAACCACAATTTTAGTTAAAGAAGCAAAATAAAAAATAAAGGCATATTCGAATGTAGAAAAACAGTTTTAATTATGCAACAGGAAAAGTGTTTATAGTTGTGAAAAATAACGCATAAAACAATGACGTCACTCGCCAAATGTTTACACAAAACTCATGGCGACATCTTCCGATTTTAGAATATAAAGAAATGAACGTATAAAATTTAATTTATCTATTTGAATTCTAGATCTGGAGATTTTAGATCTAGACTAGATCTACGGAATAACTAGACGTAGACGCTAAGATCTAGATTTAGACTAGAATCTACTCTAGAATCTATTCTCATAATATATTTTTATTTTAAAAGACAAAAACAACATAACTGCCTTTAAACAGCCGGGTTTTTAACGAAATGTTTTAAATCGCTTGATTTTAAGTCTCTTAGTCAACGAGTGCATTTAATATGGTATGGTTACCATTTAAATCTATAGATCCATACATAAAAACCTAATAAAAATAAATCACTTTAAAAACACGAAGAATACAATTGAATAGTCGAGTTTTTAACGGAATCATTTAAGTCACTTAATCAGTGTGTGCCTGTGTTATGTTAAATGTGTCGGATTTTTAGCTAATTAGTTATTTCTTGCTTCGTCACTAATATCGTTCAAGGTGTAGTAAAGCACATTGCGTTTTGACCAATAACTATTTTATAATTTTCTTTTCTCAAACAAGTACAACATTTTAAAATATATAGGCCTATAATTCACGTGAAACGGGTACCGATGGCTAGTATAAGAATATTCGAGAAAGTTAAGGGGAGATCACTCCCGAATTATTTAGTTTTGTAATCGAAAGCCTTTTGTTATTGAGTTTTGAGCCTACCACCATGAAGTCTTTATTTGCTACTAGTCACTTAACTATAGGCCCACATTAAGTGAAGATACTTTAAACCTATTTGTCTTGTTAAATCACTATACTTAGAATTATGAATATATCATAGCGAAGCAAGCTACAAAGTTCATATGATTATTATAACTTAGTTGAATATTATGATTGCTTTTGTCAATAAACCGGGAGTGATCTCCCCTAAACTTTCTCGAATATCTATATATATAATTCTCTTCTGGGAGCCATTAGAAAACAAGCTGCAAGCGCGCGCCTTGCAGTCCCCTCTCTTCCTCTCTATCGCTACCACCCCCACCCCACCCCACTCAAATGGTCAGGTGAGTTGTAGTTCACGCTAAATATTCACAAAACAATCGTAGAGCATGGTTTGGTGACGGCTATTAGGGGCAGATAATTCAGTTTGTAACTATTTTAAACTTGGAGGAGGTAACTAAGAAGAGGCTGCTTTCACGGGGGGGGGGGGGGGGGGAATGGGGGTTTAGTGTTTTAAAGCAAATATTTTCAGTGGCAGCATTGGTACTGTCGAATTCACAAACAACTAAATAGCGGCGTATGATATGCCGCGGGTCGGCTCGTTCTTATATAAAACAACAGGGGATGGGAACTCCATTTTAAATATTTAAAGTTGTTTTTTTTTTTTTTGCACGATACAAGACTTTCTCTATACTTCGTATATACGAGAAAGTAAAAATGACGTTCATAAATGACGTCACCATTTTGGAGCACTCTAAACTTTCAAGGGGAGGGGAATAAATTTTATGGGGGACGGGCGGACACTGGAAAAAAATATACTTCCTATATACATTCTATTTCGTTCAGGGGGGGGGGTGTAGACCTGATAGAAACTCTGATACTACTGCAGTCGAATTCGCGTTATTATAACAGTTTGTGGAGCGTTATTGTAGCAGTTGATAGATGGTGACTATAGTAGTGGAACTTGAATAAAAAAATAAAACAACACAATATTTGTCAGGTTAGTTGTTCTCAAGAGGGTGTTTCCGCGAACTTTGACCTTTCCATTGGCTGTGATTGTCAACTTCGAATTCAAACATGTCGTCTGTCGAAATAAATAGTAAAAGACAACGCAAAATATATAAATAAGACTGGAGTTTTAGACTATTTACGTTCTTAAATTACAACATTGTGAATATTTGATACAAAAAACACACACACACATACGCAAGCCAGATATGCATGGACTGACTCGGTACCTATAAGTACATGCACACGCGCACACACACTTCCATAAAAACACACACACACACAGGGGTTCGTAAATTTGTGACGGTGTGTGATGAAGGGGGGGGGGGTTCAGATGGTGTGACCCCACCTCCCCCCTACGAGTGTGACGTCATTTATGGACGACCTCTTATTTCTAGTAGGCCCATATATCAATAAACGACGATTTTTTAAAATATTTACCTCCCGCTGTCTATCGTCAACCATAGTTACAGCCAGACTCCGCACCCTCACACACACTTAAATGACGTCACATCTCGCCCTACAGCTACAAATGTTTCTTCGTGGCAGCGCCCATCCCCCCCCCCCCCCCCCAAAAATCAAACTCGCCCACCTCCCCACCCACAGAAGGTATTTTTTTTTTCGTCCTATAGAAAATATATATATTATCCTGCAACAGCCTCCCCCTCCTCGCGGATAATGTATGTCCCCACCTCCACCGAAAAGTTTTAAGTTCCTGCCTACAACTCCCTCACCAATCAAAATTGCAGTGCAATTGATACAATGGAGAGAAGAGGATGATGATAATATAGTATAGATCTATACATTTTATTTAAAATAGGCTAGGCCTAAATAAAATTGTAGCACATAATAATAACTGTTTTCTAGATCTAGACAGTATTTAATAACATTTTTTATTTTATCGTTAATAACTTCCAGAATTTTAATTTTTGCAATTAAAATTTCGGATCACCTAACAAACAACAACAGAAACTAAGAATCTAAGACGTAGAGACGAATTGTATGGGTTTTTTTTAATTTTGAAAAAAAAAAAGCGTACGTAGGCGAATGGTTAACACAATAATAACAAAATGTTTGTTCATTTAGAATCTATGTGATAATAATTTATTTACTATGTTTAGTATTATCAATTAATTACAATTAGAATCTACCGATTGAGAATCATGCTTGAGCTGCTTGATGATGATGATTGAATCATTGATTCAGAATGATTCATGAATGATGATGAATGTATGTTCTAATGTAGATCTAGACGTAGACAACTAGTCTAGAATCTAGCAGGGATAGATTGCTAGATCATGCCAATCATGGTAGTGTGCTTATTTAATTTGAGATCTAGATCTAGATCTAGCAGCACTCTGAGACTATGATAATGATGTGACTCTTCTACTGGGGGGGGGGGGGGGGGGGGGGCAGAAGCTTTTTTCGGGTAGTCAATTAGTAAAATTAACTTAGTTAATAGTTAGATTTAGGGCCTAGGGTATTACTATTACTATTAATTTAAGACAATTTAAGTTAGGCTGTTAGTTCACGGCTTGTTTATATTATCTCATGGCGCAAGCTCTCAAAGCTATTTACCGAGATGTTAGCGCGGTTTCTTTTTCATTAAAGGGTAGAGGGATAAAACCAATGATTTTGAAGCCATCGTCAATTTTAGTAATAAGAATTGCATGTTTCTAATTAATAGTTTTTCTTACTAAATCTAAAATTTACGCAATTTTCAATATAAACATGACCACTGAATAATAGACATCCATATTTAATCCATTAGGCACTAATTTTGAAGTTTTTAGTTCATTTTAAACTAAATTACTTAATTTAATATTTATTGACACTCACTGCCATGGCCAACACACCTCTCCATGACAACTCTTCTTAAGCTTGAACGTAAAGAAAACCACAAATCAGGTTAGACTTTTTAAGTGGCCATGCACCCAGAGTTCCTCACTAGTGATCTCAAATAGCGGTCACGTGGTTTTTAAAAAATAAAAATAAATTGGTTGTGATATGAGAGCCGATCTTATAAAAAAAGTGCCGACAATATTTGCTTTCTTTTTACATAGACTGATAGACTTAATAATGCTTTACTTATATGATCATTTTTGTACTTATATAGTTGATATTTTTCAAATTCTATTAATTTTAATGAAACCAACTTTTGAATTTAGCCTCCGTTCTCCAAACCAAATTTTAAAATGCTTTTCTGGCATATCTAACCCTGCCACCTATTGTTTGTTGTTAAGACACGGAAATCCCGCCATTTTGCGCGTGGTAAACATTTTTAAATTTATTTAGTAGAAGGTCTCTGGAATTTGGCCAAAAAATCGCCGGAAGTCATGCGTCCGGTCCGGACGCCATATTGTTGTTAGCAACCGACCACGCCTCAAAGTTAGCGAGAAATACTACTAATTAAGTCTGTTAATCAAGAATAGTTACATGTACTTTTGACCTAATTTCTTTATCTCACAAGCGGCACTTTAGTGAAAGTAGCTCTGTTTAGTCTTGTGTTAACATGAACTTACATTCAAATAACTTCTAAACTACGCTTTGTATGTTAACCAGCATATGATGCCACAACAGTTCCGAGTCTTAGCTTTCTAATAAACCGGGAGTGATCTCCCCTAAACTTTCTCGAATATTCTTATATAAAATAACAAGGGATGGGAACTCGGGCTATAGACATGATTTTTAATCCATTTTAAATACTTAAAGTTTTAAAAATAGAATAAAATCTCGTAGACAAATTAATTGCACACCAAGTGAACGCCAAATCAAAAAGCGCATAATAGTGCGCAATATTATTAGTACTTTTAAAATTTGCATTAGTTTTTTGAGAAATCGGAAGTAGCGTAAATTACTACTTCCGGTCAACGGAAATTACTCAAAATTTAACAGAAGGTAGAGAATTAGATCTTTTACTTACATGTGAAATTTCATTTATCTATCTGAAATAGTACTCAAGTTATAGGCTTTTTAAAAATTCAAAGTAGAAAAAGTACCACTTCCGGTAATCGGAAATCGCTCAAAAGTTGATACGGATCTACGATTTTGATAAAATACTTATATATGAAATTTCATCAACCTAGCTGTAACGGTACTCAAGTTATCGTGTTTACACACGGACAGACAGACAGACAGACACACAGACATACGGACAAGATTGCAAAATTATGTTTTTCCGTATCAGTGAGGTGTAAAACGTCAAGATTTGTAAAAATCTCGATTTTTTTTTTTGCACGATTACACGACTTTCTCTATACTTCGTATATACGAGAAAGTAAAAATGACAGTCTGGGAATATTTCTCACGTCCATACTTGTGGTCATTATGTCAGAAATATCACCCCCCCCCCATAATGCCATTTTATTATAACCTTTTTGCCAAAAACAAAGCACGGGAAAATGTGTGCTGCACTAAAATCCAATCATTTGGCTAGATTTATTAGTCATGTCGCGTCATATCTAATAATATAATACATTGCGCTTTCCTTATTGATGATTATTTTTATCATTTTTAAAGTAAAAATATGAATAATTAGTTAAGATTGCAGTTTTTGTAACATGGTATACTTACCCTCTGTCAGTTTAAAAAGCATGGCATGTTAATTATGTACAAATATTGTCATAAAACACTACCATTATCCGCCACACCTAGGCCTATACAATACTATACATTATTTTTTTTATTGTTTGTTGATTGTGTTGACTTTTAGCTATCTAAATTCATTTCTAAGATATTTTAATATGCTTCTGTGAAGTTTTATTGAAAAATAACTTGCTTTCTTTAATAAATGCATTGGTTGCTCATGGAATCTCTTACATATTATAGTGACCAATGCTTTTATATGTATTTATTTCGAATTTATTTATATGAATTAGAAAAAAACATACAATTAAAAATATCTGCTTTAAAACTTGATCAGTACTTTATCTTGTTGGATCCTCTTTTGTTATTGAATTAAGTAATCTTTCAATAAATTTTTAATGGCTAAGTTAATATTAGATTAAAAGTAATGCATTGTTGTGTTGCCTTTGAAGATCAATGTATCTAAAACCCTGCAATAAAAGAGGATTGAATTTAGGTTAGAAGATTTTCCACAAACAAATAAATATACATTTAAAAAAAGCTTTTCAATTAAAAAATAAGTTCTTATTTTTTAATTGAAAAGCTCTAGATGCAAATTTAAGAATCCCACCTACAGGTGTTAGAAGACATTTATGGAACACACATAGATGTACAGTAAGGGTAGAATGGGTGGGGGGAGGGCATCAATTTGGATAGTTAGCTGTATGAGTTTGGGGTTTTGGTAAGTTGTAAGGGGTTTGTAACAACGTTAAGCTTTCTACAGCAATGTCAGCAAAAACTAACTTTGATAACAACCTGCCAGCAATTACAGAAGTAGCATTTCAACTATCCAAATCATAAACTAGATAGTAAAATCCTAAACCCTTAACCCTTTCAGGACCAAGGGACACGGGTGTCCCAAATTTTCAAATTATCACCAAATGAAATTGGAATAACATAGAGTTGTTGAATTTGCTTTAAAACATTTATTACATGATAGACTTAATATAAATAAAGTTGCTTTCAGTATATATGAGATAGTTTTGTTGTCATAATTATGGGAACTTTGCATTTTTAGACCACTCGCAAAGCTACAGTTTACATTTTTATATAAAAAATACTAACTGTAACAGAAAGAAATTACTGGCGGTTTTTTAAAGGTTTACTATTTAGGTATTATATTTATATTTGTTTTTCCTAATAGCTTTGCTTGTTTTTTTTTAAAGTAATTTTTTTGTGCTTGGGACATATATGTCCCTACGGTCCGGAAGGGAGCTAACTTTTTTTACAATGTTGCTAAGCATGAGTTTTGGCATTAGAATACAAATAGTTGTAACGCTTTTATTTACTATAACTGAACACAATGCTGTGCAAATACTGTTTATTTACAATAAAGACGATGAAAACAACTTGCTTCTTTATGAAAAAGATGTGAATTTTCTGTAGAAATATGCCGACAAAGTAAGTGTAGAAGCTATAATCAAACGACTTGTTCAAGTCCCAGAGCAGATTGTCACTACTACGATAAGGCCTACACCTTATTCTAGTCATTCTGTTTTGCATGCATTGCATACATCGTCAATGTCACATGCTTTAGTGACTAATATTCCCTCAAATCTGCATGGTCCGCGCAGTATTTGTGAACATGCCGCGCTCGCTGTCATTTCGTAAAATACATGTTACCTTGTATGAGACTTTTAGAACACCGCGCACAAAAAATATACGATGTACACTAGAGTTTTCCCCTCAGATAAGTGTTAATAGTTACAATTACCCCTCCGACATCGCCCCGCCCGATATTACCGCCTCCGAGCAATTACACCTCGTCCAGTTATGGATAAGTTAGGACTAGGGTTAGGTTAGGGTTAGGGCTAGTTTTAGGGTTAAATTTAGAGTTGGAGTTAGGGGTTTTGTTAGGGTTAGCTATAGGCTTGGAGTTTGGGGTTAAGATCAGGGGTCTTCAGCATCGATTGGGGGGGGGGGGGGAGGGGAACTTGAAGGGGTGGTAATGTCCTAGACCCGAAGCTGACACATATCATTTTCATCAATAGAACTAGACTTGCCCACAACATGAACAACCAAACGTTTTTGTGATAATTGAAAATGGAGAATGGAGCAAGATATTATTTTCAACTAGAGGCTTCTGAAAACACAGTTTCCAATAAAAGTTATTGACTATGGTTATAGGAAATTGACAGTAGATGTTGATTGAAATGAACATTCTAATGATTTTAGGCAATCAAATCCATGTTTCATACATTGATAATTTGTTGCCAAGATAATGATTTGTAGTCAAAAAGCCATTTATACCTATATTTGACAAGAATTCAACGCTGGCTACAATGCAAAACCAAGCTTGGATATAGGCAAATGATAGCAAGAGCTCACATTTAGGGATTACATCAAATAAATATAAACTCAAGACCTGTTCGTAGAGGCAATAATTTCACTTCAACCCCACCAGAGGTTGATAAATCAAAGAAAGAAAAACGCAGGAGTTATGCACAATGTGCAACAGAAAAAGATTGAGAACAGAGCGGACAATATGTATTATATCTACCATGTTCGTGTATGTTATATAACATCACGTAACTGCTTCCATATGCCCCATTCATATATGACTATACACTCATAAAGGACATAAATGTGTTCTCAATACTGATATTTTCAATTTCTAATGTACCAGAACAACTAACACACGTTTGATCACTTTTAGGATAAACATATTGACATAACTCACAACATAACCTATTTTCGATAATTTTCCTCTGAGGACCGTAGGGACACATATGTCCCATGTTGTATCTCAAAAACTATTTAAGATATCAGAAAACCGTTAACATTTTTGAAATCTACGTGTCATTTTACTACTAAATGTATGCACAGATATTTGAAATTATGCCTGTAATTCTTGTGGTCCTGAAAGGGTTAAGAGGGCACTCAACAATGTGTCAGTGTAGTGTAGGTTAAGTTTGCTTAAAAAATAATTCTCTAATCAACAAATTTTTTAAAAACTTCTTTAAAGTTTGATGGATAGCCCTACTTAAGATATGTTTTAAAATAGTCCTTTAAAAGTTTCACTTTTTAAAATAATCATGAAGTTGTCTTTGTGTAAGCTAGTATCAGTTGTTGTTATCTTGTCTCCATTCTAATCAAGCATCAGTTCAGTTTTATCTTGTTCGTCACATCATGTGACACTGCAACTTCTGAGCTTAATTATGAATGGAAAATAAAAACATTGCAATATCTGATGATAAATGAACCATTTGAAATGTAGTTATAAATTTTATCTTACTGGAAACAGCCATCATTTAAAGTAAATCATACTTTAAGTAATAATATTAATTTTTAAAAGTTTTAGTCTATGCTTAGAAATGTAAAATGTATTCAAATACATTAACTCAATATTTGTTCTAATTTGGTTGCAAACGCAACTATTGAATAACAGTACATCTTTTATTTTTCTCCTTTTTTCAAACGTGTAATCTACTTCGAGTTTTATATCCAGTTCAAATGACATTTGAATCTCATTCACTAAATGATTTAGCTAGCATGGTATATTAATATCACAACATCCATCCTTCATTGATACCTACTTTTATTGATATTGATGTTAGCCTATGTTAATAGTAATCTTTATTCACCTTAAGCTTGTTCTTATTCAACCAGGTCCTATTAATTAAAATACATGCCATCCATTTCTAAAAAGTATTTCTCTATAGATATAGTTTGAAATTTCTACCATCCCAGTGTTTCTTTCAGACCTTTTTCTTCAGGGAAGCACTTAAAACTTTTGGGGAGGGGGGGAAGGACTAGAATTTCCAGGGGCGTGGGTGGAGATGGACGAACATATTTACTATATAAATTCTATTTTGTTTGGGGGGGGGGGGCACTGCTGCCATCTGGCAGGTCAACCAACAAAATTTACATTACACTAGCTAGTTTTTTAACTTCGGTTTTGTTCCTTCAACTTGTTTTAATGCATATTGATATATGAATTATTTAAGCCATTATGAAAAATGCATATTTGAAAGGTAAATAGCAAGAGCTAATGCATTTTATTTTGCTCAATAAAAATACATATTGTGATAAGAAGACTCATTGCATTATTCATATTTTTTACAGAAACCAACCATCCCATGAGCTGTGAAACAGATATATACGGTTAGCATTATTGTTGTTAATTTTTTTCTTCACTGCTCTTAAAGAGGTGTAAAAAAAATTATTTTTTTTTAATTTAATTTTTAAAATTAAGAAAAGTACAACTGCAATCTTTTATAACACTAAATAAAATTGAATGAGGGTTTTTTAAATGTACATTTCATGTTTTCACCAGTTATAATGGCATAATGTCTTTGATTGTAGCCTGAAAATGATGGTGCATTATGAGACCCCTATCAACAATGAGTCGGATGATGAAGATGTTGAGCTGTCGAGAACGGAGCTGGTTTATTCACAACTGTACGCCAGAGGTCCCAAGTGGCCACGAGTCATTGGGGTTGTAGAGATCATAGCTGGGTTTATTATAACTATACTAGGTAAGTCAATGGTGAAATATTTGGTTTTTGTTAAGTATGCTAAACGCTGTTGCATTTATTATAACTTTACTGTTGATTGTGAATGATTTGAGCTTTTTAAAAAATAAATTTGTAATAATTGGTCTATGTGTGGCTATGCTAAGATACTTAATATAGAGGACATTGGTCATACATGAGTTGTTTGGTTTGTAGGAAAGCAGCTCATATAAACAGCTATGCAAATGATTATTGCTTTTGTTGTTTAAATAGCTCCTTGTTGCTTTTGCATTGGAAAGTGAAAATATTCAATGGCTATTTGATTAAGTTACTGTTATAAACTGACATAAATGTTGTTAAATTTCTTAAAGTCAATATATTTAGACAAAATTTTTATTTATGTTTTCCTATGTAACAAAACTATGTAATTTGCTATGTAAATTAATTTGTAAATTTTTATCATAACTTTGAAATCACTGTTGTAAATATATTGGTAATTTAAAATATCAAATCAAAATTTCATCCAACCAATTTTTAAAAAAAAATTTTGAGTTAATATTTGATGAAATAACTGTACCTAGATAGATGAAATAACTGTACCTTGATAGATAAAATAACTGTACCTTGATTGATAAAATAACTGTGCTCCCTTGATAGATAAAATAACTGTGCTGTACCTTGGTTGATAAAATAACTGTACCTAGGTTGATAAAAAGTGGTCGGCATGGTCGAGTCGGTAAAGTTTAATGTTGCCAAACCAAAAAGTCTCGACTTTGAACCCTTGGGCAGATGAGGCTCGCTAACAGGGGACAGCCACTCTTCAAGGAGAGACAACTCCAAAATTTAACAACTGCTGCCTTGTAGTTTGTTCTTAGTTGGACAAAGGCTATGGAAGCAAATCCAAAAAGAAAAGCAGGCTGAAATCAGAGTCAATGGCCTCAATTGCGCGTAACCAGGGGGATCCCTTCCAACACTAAAATTAAGAACGAAGAAGAAGAAGAAAGGTTGATAAAATAACTGTAACTTGGTTGACTTTTCACTCAGGTGTGACAGAAGTATTCATTCTGCCATTACTGGAGAGTCGTGGCTCTGAGAATCTCATTGTCTTTGAAAAAGAAAATTGTTTTGGTGTTTCCATACTTGCAGGGCTTACTGTAAGTTTGTTAAAATTTAATCAAAACCTGTACTGTATACATGCTAATTTAGTAAGGTAGCCTCTAACGTTGAGTTAGATAAATATATATATATAGTTTTTTTTAATGAACATAATTCATGTCAATATCATGAAGGCTTAAATAATTTTTCAGCTAGTCAGCTGCTTTTTTATTTAAATTTCTTTCTTTTCTAATTTATTTTTGATATTTTGAGAATTAGTTAAGATTGTTTCACTACTGTAAACTCCCAATATTTTCACTATTTTTCTCAACTCAGTTCTGTTACAGCTGTCTTGTAAACACTTGCTATATTTCCAGATGGTTCTAACGGGTAGTACAGTGATAAGGGCCACTATGTCCAGGAGAGATACTACAGTAAGAAATTTTTTTTGTTTGTCTTTTTTTTTTATTTTCACATAAATCATTTACTCGTGAAATAAGATAATCTATAACCTATTTTTGGAAGTGTTTTTTAAATTTTCATCTTTTTTTTTCCTATAGGTTGTAAGGTTTTTCAACTTGACAATTTTATGTCTTCTTGTGTATGCTGGGCTTACACTATTTCTTGTGACTGCTTATGCCAAAGGCTGGACAACGGTAGACCATTATCAGGTAATAACAATGTATTTTTACAGACAAATTTAGTTGATAACTAACATTAAGAGCTATTTATAAATACGTTTTTACTGAAAACTTCAGAGAATCACATTCATGAGTGGCTTTTTAATTAAATGGTAACAACTGCAGTTCAATAAATTTGCAAAGTTTAACACTCCTTTCTTTATTTCAAAGTCTTTCAATATAAGAAATGATATACTTGTTTTGGTTTAAAAATATGTAGGCTGCAAAAACACTGCTCTGCACACAAGATTTGTATTTTAACACAACTCTCTTTCTCTCTGTTCCTTCTGCCGTGGATAATATTTTTCTATTAGTTCCCACATTCCAAAGATCATATTACCTTGTATGTAAATCTGATATGGCTTTAAAAATATTGTGCTATAGAAGTATATGACTGCAAAAAAAAAAATGTTTTAGTCAACGCCTGCATTTGGACTCAATGTTAGTCAGACTACCAGTGTTTACAATAACAGCTGTTAAATCTGTCACTCCAGATCAGGTTTAAATTATTTGATCGAGGTTTTAATTTATAAATGTGTAACTTATTATTAGTGCAGTGAATAGTTAAAGCCATTTTTTTGCATTTGATAACTTTACTACCTACCATTGTTTGATATAAACTTATGTGCCTGAGAATGAGAAAATGGAAAATTCCAATAGTACATGTCAGAAGATCAGGATAGGAAAATGGAAAAGCTTGCCTCTGGGGCAGTCATTATTTATTTCATAAGTCGTTATTTAGATTTTAGACATCTTACACATTTTTTTTTTAAATCCAGTCATACAAATATTTTTTAAAATGAACAAAGGGACATTGAGATAAGTAAAGTTTTGGTTTAAGTATCCTCTTAGTTGACTGTAAATGGTTTGTTTTATTAAGTATCCTCTTAGTTGACTGTAAAAATATTTCATCCCCAGCCTGGCAGCAGAATTGCAGAAGTTCATTTCTTCGTCACAGTGTTCTCAATTCTAGGGCTGATATTCGCAGTGACTGGATTTGTCCAGTATTTCAGTGTCATTTGCTGCGGGCCAACCCCTGTGTGGCTGCCCTGGGTTCAGTTTTGTTGTGGATGTTGTTATAACCGGGTAATTATCATTTGTATTTTATTTTGAAGTTGTTGTCATAATTTATATAACATGCTCATTGAGTTGGACAAAAATAATTTTTGTGGATTGTTGTATATAAATATTTTATATCTGTGTGATTATTAATTTTCATTTAAAAACTGTTAATGCTGTCTTGTATATGCTAGAAATTTTATTTTTATTTTGTTTAACATAGCATCCAATTAACAAGTTTTAATTACAAAATTTAATTTATTAGCTTATTAGCTTATATAAAGAGAGGTTGAGATAATTATTTAATAATTAAGTATTTTCTTTTTTAATAAGTATAAATTTTCTGGCACACATTCATGTGAAAGACATGAGGAAATGGGTGTTATGTGAAAGATATAGCATTAAAAAAATTAGAGCTATTTCAAGCCCGTTAGCATGTACAATGATATAGATTTAGTGATTGTTGACATAACATTACATTGAAATTAATAGCACTTGACATGTTAAAATATTGAAACAAGATTGTGTGGACTGCTGGTGAAAGATATACTACCCCTGTGATTTGTACAAAAGTCAATTAGAGCACCATGCAAAGAATACCCCTTTTTAAAAAGCATTTTTTTTGTAAACCTAGCATCTACCAACTTGGATTTAATTTTGTTTGCAGTCTGATAAAGCAGAAGATTCAGGTAGCTCAAATATAACCTACCATCCACTTCAAACCCTCCCCCACCCCCTCAAATTTTTAGATTGTTTTAAGTACAATGATGGTTTTAAAAAGAGAATAGTGAAACATATAACTTAATGACGTTTATTGCTAATTTAAAAGTTATACTGCAAATGCTCACAGTATAACTGTTTAAAAGAAAGTTGCGTTTTGTCAAAAAAATTTCCCCAGCATCTGTCAAAAACTTCCTAAAACATTACCTCCCTTGCTATTATATTTTTTATGATACTTATGTTATAAAATATAAATCCAGTATCAGGTCATTCACCTCAGATAAACAGGTGAGTTAAGGTTTAAAAAGATGTGGGCACATTTTATTTTAGTATAGTAAGCCTATATTTGTCAGTGCCATATTATTTAAAATGTCATTGTCCAACTAACATTGGAGATGGAAAACTCTTCAAATATAGTATATTTACATGTGCTTTGCTTGAAATAACTGTTATATAACTTTAATAAACATATGCAATTGGCCTTTGTAGTTGGGGTAAAATTACCTGACGGTCTATAGGGCAAGTGAAGTAGAGTTCACTTGTTTCTATGACCTCAGCATAGTAAGGGATAGTGTGGTCAGCACTATGCCCAGCCGCCTTTACTTTCCCTAACATGAGTTATGTACCCATCAGAGTTGGGTGGATTCAGGAACAGTCTTCTGACTTGAACCCAGATTCGAACTCGAGACTTATGGATTAGCAGTCCAGCTCTCTACCGCTAGACCACTCCGTCCCTCGTGTAGTTAGGGAGGATCCTGCAAATCAGGAACTGAGGATAGGATAGGGGCCAAATAAGTAAGTAGGACTATGGCCCTCATCATTTCACTTGACGTAATAGTATGGACTGAAATTTACAAATAGTTTAATGATGAAGCTTTGTATAGTAAACTCAACTAGTTTAAATCACAAGATTTTTTAAAAACTTTGTGCTCTAGAGTTATGAGATTTCCTAATAAAATGTTATTTCAGAACTATAGACTACTCCATAGACTTGTAGAAACTGCAAAAATTGTCTACTTGGCCTTGCCTTACCTGCATATTGAGAATAAATGTAGTTAGCTTACTTTCATTTTGCTTCTGTTCTACCATAGTTTTTACTCTACTCCTAGTGTGTAATACAAGCTTCCTTGCTCAAAACCTGATGTGTAGTACTCTTTACATATCTTTTTAACTAGTTGCATGAATGTATTTCTTTAATTTAACAAAAATGTCAAATGAGGGATAAAATATATACTTCAGTAAACTATATATAAGGCTTTTCATGTAAATATTTACTTGCTTTTGTCATATCCTCTGCTTCATTATCTTTATGCCAATATATCCCTGCCCTCCAGTTGAAAATTTAGTCATTAATTTCATATAAGCTTATTTTTTGTTAAGTAAGATATTTGATTTTTAAAATTTCTTCATAGTTCTGACACATTAGGACACATTGTTTAACTGTATGAATATATATACACCTCACCACTTAGTAACAATAATTTTAGAACAAAGACTCTTGCAATAGGACTTACCACACGATAACAGATTAAATGCTGGTTCATATATTATAATTCACTTTCATAGCCTTGATTAATTAGTTAGATATTTGCCCTAAACCTTTTCAAGCACTTGAAATTTGCTTGTCATATAATTTGCTTTGTAACTTTTAGTATATCAACATTGTTTATTGATTAAATAAATATATACTAGGCCTATATGTTGAGATTTTATAATAAATTAGATAACCCTTTATTTTCGGGGACAGCAGAGTTGAGTTGTATTTGTGATTACAAGTTTTAACTTGACCAGTCTATAGCCCATTCCCTGTCCAGCCAGTTCTGATGGGTACCTGGCATAAAGATGATTGCACAATTCCTTCTTATGAATAGGTCAGACACATAATCTTATAAACCTTTTTTTAGGTCTGCATGGGTACCTTACTTTACCATCTGTATTTCTAAAAAATTGCCTACACTATAAAGACAGTTGCACTAGTAGTGAATTCTTGTGCCACTGTCAGAAATGTCCATATAATACTTGTTGAATCATTATAAAACACTTTTTTGTGTATAAATCAGTATTAGAACTAAGATCAGATTGAAATAATCCACTCAAAAAAAGGGGGAATCAATATGTCATTTTCTGCCTAAAATTCGATTTTGTAGTGTTTTTGCTTTTTTTGTCCATGATGGTATTTATTTCTAACTTTAAAATTATTATTTTTCAATTTGAACAGAGATGGCGCATGATGTCGCTGGATGACTCTTTAAGAGAAGAATTCATTTCCAACAATGAACCAATATAGCTTGAATACTAAAGTCAGTGAGCTTTTTAAAATGTTTGGATCTACTGTGGTTGAACACATCCCATCTTTATATTTTACCAGAATAATTCCTGATATTATTAAACATAAATATGTTTAAAATTGTAAAAAGTACTGTATCAAAATTTCTGACATGACAATATTATATATTGTTATACAAAAGTTGTTGAATTTTATACACATGCTTCCATTGTAGAGTACTCTGATTATAATAATTTATTAATTTATGCAATAAGCATATAGAATTAAATAATTCAGCATTTTTGCAGTCAATTAAACATTGCTATAGCTATATATTTTGGGCTCCTACATTTAATGATGTATTAGCCTTGACTACCTAATCAGTCAATAATTTGATTTAAAGATACTTAGTTGTATTCATTACTAATCTTTTAACCATGCCATATTGGTTTTATTGTGATTACAAATACAGTGTTTCTTTCTAGCCTTAATAATTTCCATAAAATAGTATTGAATTTCTTATGAATACAGTGTTTCTTCATTACTTTATGTACTGTGGACTGTTCATTCAAAAATACTATTGAAAATATAGGAATTTTTTATTTGCTAGATCCTGGGGTATAGTGCCAAAAAAATAGTTGCACCTACCTAATCCTAATGTACAGCAATTTATAGATTTGATGAATTTGTATTTTAAATTTAAAAGATACATGAAAAATATAAAAACTAGCTTTATAAGAAATTATACATCATAAATTCCATTTATAGAAAAAAGCTCTATATTATATTTAAAGTAAGTGGTGTATTTATTCATGCACAAAGAGAACTGTTTGTAGCCGAAGTAGTGGAAGTTTCGTCTGCTGCAAAAAATTCTAGCTAATAAGTGTTATAACTACTATAATGTCCTTACTTTACCGATATTCACTATTCTAGGGTTTACTGTAAAATGGAACAGAACACTATAAATAAGTGAGGAACACTGTATCTCGTTACAAATAAATGTAGTTAAGAGAGTTATTTACCCTTGGATTAGTGCTGCTATACCACATTGTTATAGCTAGTCTAAATTGAAAGTTTGGTATATTTGTATTATGGACATACCAGTAATATGATGAGACATCATGTGACTACAGCTATACAGAGCTGAATTATTGTAAGGGCTGTTTGTTTTATTACTGTTTGCTGTGAATGTAATTTTTTAAATTTACTTGGTAATTCATTGTTCAGTCTTATGAAATGTCTAGAAAAATAATCAGAATCTATTGTTTCATAACATTTTTCGTTTTAATTGTTGTGAACATATAATTTTGATGATTATAAAACAGATGACAGCTTAGTTGTGTTTTAAAAATTGTTGATATTATAGAAGTTTTTCTTGTGTGTACTTGATTATGTTTTTGAATTTTTAATCTAACATCATTAATACTGAATTAGCTATTATTTTTCAACCACAGAGCTCAAAATTTGCATTAATTTTATCTCCAAACTGAAATGTGTTCTTTTAACAACAAAACTTTGACACAAATTTTGCTCTTGTAGCTCACAATTACAGTCAACACAAATATCAACACCACCAGTCATCTTGTTCTGTTTCATCTGAACTGATCATTTCATTATGTACCACCTGAAATAGTGGCTGATTCAATTTTTCATTTTTTTTTACCTCTGTCAGATAAAATTGTTATGGTCAAAATAAAATTGAATACTACAAATTATAAATGAAACCTGTGATTTTGATTTAAAAATTTTTTGCCTCGTGATCAAGGGTTTTTACTCTTCGTTAATACACTATGTACATAAGTTTGCTTGTTTCTAAATGCTAATACGGTTAACTGGAAAAAAGTAAATATTTAAAAAAAATATATTCCCATTAGTCTAAAACTGATTTGTATTACTATAAATCATTTTTATAAACATTTGTAAATAATGTCATAGTTTTTTATGAAATTTAATTGCAAAAAATCTTTTTTTTTTGTTTTTCTGTGATAGTTTGTATAATTTTTTTTTTAAATGTGCATGCTTAATAATTCAGCTTGATTTTTTAAATTTGGTTTTTTGTTAGCCTTTTCAGTCTTAGACTGCAAATGTAGCTTCTCTTCATGTGAATCAATATTTTATTTGGGATTTAGTTACCCTTATCTGGCATATGAAACTTTAAAATTTGCTAAACCAATAAAAACTAGTCACACTCTTCTTTTTACTGTTACCTAGTTTACCAATTCTTGGCTCAGAATTTCTCCTACAATTTCTAGAAGAAAACACTTCACTTTTAAAAATATGTCTGTCAAGAATTTATGCAACATTATTGGTATTGAAATCTATTAAAATATTCAATATGAGCTGTTCAGATTTTTTCAATAGATATTTCTTTCATGCCTATTATTTTTTCTTTAATGTATATGTACATTGCTTAACAGTGCTACTGTCCTACGTAACTAAAACACTTGTCATAGGTAATACTTTCATCTTACTGTAGTGTAACGTCATTCTCTTACATTTTAAATGTGTAATTATGAACATTAAATATTTTTAAAATTATCTATCTTGCAAAATAAAAATTTTTGTATGTGGAAATAATTGGGTCAAGAATAATTCAATACAGTGTTTTTACAACATGCTGCCCCAAACAATCTTTCAAGTACAATGTATCTTGCACATATAACTAGACTGTTTGTTATCCACCATTAAACAAATCCAAAGTTCCAATAGTTATACTTCATATGATAATCTTCCAGCTCGCCCTGATAGCATGTGCCTTGACTTATTCATATTACAATCATGTTCAAAGTATTTGAAATCTTAGCTTTACATAAATGTAAATTATGGATTCATTCTCAAAAGCAGCTATTTAACAAAATAGTTGAATAACTTGGCCTAGAAGTGTTAATACACTTTACATGAAATTCTGATAGTCTTGTGACAGTAAGTTGGTTTGGCAAGAGTTACTGCATTACATAAGGTTAATTTATTGATGTGAAACTAAGGCCCCATTTAATTAACTAATGTTGTTCACTCACCCCAAAAATATGAAAAAAGAGCAATAAAGACAGTAAAATTGGTTTATTTCTTTTACTGAACTTAAGTAAAATAACTTGGTCATTATTCAAACAGGTAATGCTTAATTCACTTCAAGACAGTTCAATAAAAAGAATAGAAAAAAATTTATGAATAGGATAACAATTTTTATATAAAATGGAATTTCTAAAGAAATTGCATTTCATTTGTAAGAGATAAGAGGGGCTACAATGTAGATGATATTAAACACAAGTCTGATGCAATTTTGAAACTGGTTTTAAACCAAACAAAAAATAACTAACTTTATTCAGAAATGACCATTTTAAACATTTCATTATTACTGACACAAACATATAATGCACTCTCAACCTGTAAACAAGCACCAGAATAACCCCACAAAGAACAGCAACTTCTATAAAGCTGTAAGCAGTAGACAAAATTTCAGCATTATACCCTGCCAGTAACATTCAGCATATATGCATTCAACAACACTAATGTAACAATTATAAGAGATTGTTTCAAGAAAGAAAATGTATCTGAACTAAAAATTAAAGTTTAAAAACAAGTGAACAATGTATTATTATAATAGCTTACAATGGACATGAAAACATTTTGCAGTTTAATAATACCTGCACACTTACTGGCTTTATTTATTAATTTGCAACACGTTTAAAAGATCAAAATGTTCCAATTGTGATTACTAGCCCAGACAGAGGCTAAAAAAAATTAGATAATATCAAACTACTAGAGAATTGTTCTTCAATAGAAACATTCCTAGGATTAATGATCATACTGCAATCAACTTAATGGTAACAGAAAGAATGTTTGTCACTATAATGGTTTATGAGGTAGTTAAATATTAACTACCAAAACATAACATAACCACAGCAATAAAAAACAAAGTATTAATGGTATAAATACATGATGCATTATGAAAGTGGTGATACAAATCCAGCTGTATTAGTTTCTCATAATTCATCCTTGTCATCAATGTCCACATCACTCAGATCAATATCTTCTTCAACTTCCAGCTGTCAAATAAAATGTCATGTCATCAGTAACAATTAACAACTTCAAAATGAGATAGCATGCTAATTACTGACATATTTGCTTGTGATTATTAATTAAGCTAAGGGACGGCGTGGTCTAGCGGTAGAGAGCTAGACTGCTAACTCAAGAGTCTCGAGTTCAAATCTGTGTTCAAATCAGTGGAACATTCCAGAGTCCACCCAGCTCTGATGGAGACCTAACTTACATTAGGGAAACAAAGGCGGCTGGACATAGTGCTGACCACACTATCCCTTCATAGGCAGAGGTCAATGAATCGTATGAATTCTACTTCATCTGCCCCATGTGTCTTGGGATTAAGAAGAAGATTAATTATGCTACTTACCACACCATCTTTTCCATCCCATGGGTTAACAGTTTTTACTGTTGGTAGCTGAGAACCTTTAAGTGGGGCTGTGGAGCCTTTGCCAAATGAAAGATCCCTGAAAAGAAAAGGTATAACGTTAAAAGTTTTTAAACTTTCTTAACTTTCCAATCATTCACATGGTAGAAATAAGAAAATACCTTGGAAATTAACTTATTTATGATAAAAAAAAGAAAATACCTCAGAAATTCATTAATGCCAGTCTCACTGAAAGAGCCTTTAAGCAGTGAAAACTTCATTTTTCTTGAGTTAACTGCAGCAAGAGCCTGGTGAATGTTTAGATAGACTAAAATTAAAGGTATATAGATAAATGCTAAATTAATGGTAGCATATGGATGCAACGAGTAGTTTTCAGCATTGAACAATTCAAAGAACTATACTAATTTAAGTTGTTTTTTTTAAACATTTAAAAAAATTATTTTTTATAATGTGGCAGTATCTGATATGCCCAAACTATGTACAGTACTTTCAATTCTGTGAAGTAATAGAAGCCTTGATTGCGACAAAAATTTAAATTAATTAGTGTTATGAAGATTTTTTCGGTCCTATCATTGATCTGCTAAATGTTTTAAAGTTTTTTAAAGAACTTACAGGCAGCTTATGAGTAAAATTTAAACTAAATCAAAATGTCTCTGATGATTTGCTAAATAAAGAAGCAATATAAATATCTAGGTTATAAGTATGGTTGTTAATGGTACTATAATTTTTAGAACTCACAGGCCATCCAAAGCCACCCATGTCCAATGCTTGCTCTAGTTCTGGCTGTTGACCAGCTTCAGACCAAACCCAACTGAAAAATAGTTTTAAAAAACCAATCTATTAGACATTAACCTTTTTGTGTGAGGGATTACTGCAATAAAAAGAAATACAACTCAAGCACACTTACCCCCACATTTGCTTCTTATACTTCTCTCCCAAGCGTCTTAATACATTCAGGTAATCATTTCTGCATTTGGATTGACAGTCCAGAATGTGAGGAAGTACAGAAACTATGCACAGTTGGTGGTCATCGCAGGCACTCTTAAGGGCTGCGTTGCTGGTGAGCTATGGTTCATAAAATAGAAAGTATTAATATTTCTCTAAAAATAGTTTACTAAGATAACAATTCTACATGATCATCCATACACAAGTTTATCTTATGAAATGGACACTAAAATTAAATTATATAAAAATATGAAAAATCACACTACAATTGTTAACATGAAAATCATATATTAAACAAATCATTCATATTACTAAAATTAATAAAAAAAAAAACAGCATACTTCTGTGATTTCTGGGGCAGGGATATTCTCTGCTAGTTTATCAAGAGCCCAGCGAACAATGTCACCTGATGTTCTTCCACCATCATACTCCACACCCTTAGGATCTTTCTTGCCAGCAGGGAAAAATTTGATTGTTGGGAATCCTCTAATCTGAATGCACAATTTTTATGATAAGCAAGTTATTAGTAGAAGAACACAAATTTGAGTTAAAAACAACTGATTATGTACATAGTCCACACTGACGATTTAAGCTTAGTGTGAATACAAGAAATAAAGTGATATAAAATCATGTACTCTTAATTGTCCATTGTACAAGACTTGTGTGAAGTCAAATTATATAGAACAAAATAAAAATTCTTCAAAGAAATTACAAATTCCAAATCAACAAAATACAAACCTCATATCTGTTGGCCATGACAGTGTGTACTGTTGCATCTACGGCACCCAACTTGACTTTTCCTTTCAGTTCAGATGCAGCAGACGCCCAGTGTGGAGCAAGATTTTTGCAGTGACCACACCATGGCGCGTAGAACTCAACCAACCACATGTCATCACTCTGCAAAACTTTCTCTTCAAAGTTGCTGTCAGTCAGCTCAACTACATCTTTGCTGTCCCCACTGCCTCCAGAGCTCTGTTGATGTCAAAAATAATTATGGAGCTAAAATGTTTTGCAATGATCAAGTGAAAATAGTTCTATATTATCTCATTTTGCAGCTACCTAGACTAACAATGATTTTGAATTAAAACTCACCTTGCCACCACCGCTGCTCTTACCACCAGAAAGTCTGCTTTTCACCATGCTTGTTAAGGTATTTAGAGCGGAATCTACAATTCCTTGAGCATTACGCTGACCTAAATAAGGGTTTACAAAATATTTTACAAAATTGATTTTTTTTCCTTAATTAGATATTTTTTTATATAAAGGCTGTAGGACAATATAATACCAGTAAATATTTTTTTTTAATTCTTTGAATTTTATTTTATTCCAGATAATAATCATCACTTAACTTTGAAAATTTAACTAAATATTTAACATTCATGCATACCCTGGTAATCAGTAGGTTTGAATTTATCTGCACCAAAGATCTTGATTGTTGGAAAACCTTGTACACCATATTGACCACCCAAACCTTTATGCTCATCTGCATTTACTGCTCCAACTTTAACAACACCCTGGATTTTAAAACAATTTCATATTTGACTTATAGATTACAAGATAGAACATGTACATCACATTTTTCTCCTGCTTAGATAAATTGATATTGCCATTATTATTCATACAGACTAGAGACAAAACAATACCTTCAATGCGCTAGCTGCCTTTTTCCACTCAGGTGTTAATGCTTGGCAATGTCCACACCTAGATAAAAAAATGTACTTTAACATTCCATTTCAAAATAGTATGAATATTTACTTAAATCTGTTATTTAAAACAAAAACAATAATTTAGGCCTAAATCTCTAACCTAAATGGATTAAAAGTATTACCATGGGGCATAGAACTCAACAAGCCATAGTTCATTACTGTCAATCACAGATTTATGGAAATTGCTGGGAGTCAGCTCAACCACATCATCTCCTGGCCCGTACATACAATGTACTGCACTTACAAGGAATGCGAGGCTAACAACAAGACCTGTTAAAAACAAATATATTATTATATAAAATATAGGCTATAGGTCTATATAAAAACATCTTTATACAAGGTCCTCAGTTAGACAATTTTATAAAAATGGAAGGAATCACTTTCATTAAACTAATTACACGAGTATTAATTATACCAGACTTCAACAACGGAATCATCAAGAATGTGTTTTGATCACAAGTGTTACATTAGCTAATGTTGGATCTAAACTAAATAGATAACCAAATCCAAGCAGAATGATAGAAATCTAGATTCTAGAACATGGCTACAATTAAATTTTTTTGAGGATACTGTGTCTGATAATATCGATTACAGATTCTTCCGAAAATACTTGAAAATTACTAGATCTAGAATCTACATTAAAATAAAAAAACATTAGGCCTATTATTTTGTTAATGTTAACTAGTGTTAACTACTGTCAACTAACTAGTGTTAACTTCCAGTAACTAAAGTTACTAAACTGAGTAAGCCTGTCCTCACTCAGTAAGCCGTAAGCAGCTAACATCTCTTTTTAAGAAGAATTATCGGACACAGGTAGACTAGATCTAGATCTAGATTCTAGATCTCTAGATAAAAAAAATAAAAATCCACCCTAGACCTAGATCTAGATTCTAGAATGAAAATTAAATTTTATTTCTTATGCTAAATGAACTGAAAGTAAACGTTGGACTCTGTGAGAAGCCAAAGTTGAAAGTGAGTGACAGATGATGAAAAATAAAAAAAACAATAAAAAAAAAACTTTAAAAAGTAAAAAGTAAAAAGACTGGCAAATGGAAAATAATATTTAGAAAATCTATGTTAATCGAAACTCGAAAATAAATGTGGGATTGTAAATTGTTATAAATCATACCTCTCATGACTGCAATTATAAAATGCAAGCTTCCGAATAGACGTGAGGGAAAAAGCTTCAATCTTTTCAGCACCGTTGATTAACAACTGCCGGTCTCTATCGGCTCTTCTTGACTACTTTCGCTTCTAAACATAAGGGCATACTGTCGTGGCTGCTTGTGATTGGACAAAACGCTAAAAATTACGTGTTTTGCATTTGGAAACTTCCGGCGAGATCTATAAATAAATAGGCCTGAATTTAGGTAGATAATTAAATTAATTATCAATTTAGTAGAGAACACAGATTTATTATCATATATTTTATTTTCATAAAAATATTTTAAAGTATTTATTTTTTGTAATCACCACAGAGGCTTAAAAACATGTTTAAAATGCATTTCGTTATTATTTTAAATTAGAACCACTTTTATATTCCTACCCAACATTTAATCAGGTCGTTGATATGCACGCTAAAAATGGCTGCTGTTTTCTTCCGAATGTTGTAAAAATAAAAAGCTTAAAGTTATCTGCTGTAAATTTACTACACTGTATTTAAAATTACCCCCATTTTTACTTTCTCGTATATACGTAGTATAGAGAAAGTATTGTAATCGTGCAAAAAAAAAAAATCGAGATTTTTACAAATCTCGACGTTTTACACCTCACTGATACGGAAAAACATAATTTTGCAATCTTGTCCGTATGTCTGTGTGTGTGTGTGTCTGTGTGTCTGTCCGTGTGTAAACACGATAACTTGAGTACCGTTACAGCTAGGTTGATGAAATTTCATATATAAGTATTTTATCAAAATCGTAGATCCGTATCAACTTTTGAGCGATTTCCGATAACCGGAAGTGGTACTTTTCCTACTTTGAATTTTTCAAAAGCCTATAACTTGAGTACTATTTCAAATAGATAAATGAAATTTTACATGTAAGTAAAAGATCTAATTCTCTACCTTCTGTTAAATTTTGAGTAATTTCCGTTGACTGGAAGTAGTAATTTACGCTACTTCCGATTTCTCAAAAAACTAATGTAAATTTTTAAAGTACTAATAATATTGCGCACTATTATACGCGTTTTTATTCGGCGTTTGCTTGGTGCGCAATGTTTTTTTTATGAGATTCTATTCTATTTTTAAAAGTTTAAGTATTTAAAATGGATTAAAAATCATAACTATATCCCCAGTTACCATCCCCTGTTGTTTTATATAAGAATATTCGAGAAAGTTTAGGGGAGATCACTACCGGTTTATTTGTTTAAAAAGTCGTTAATTAATTTCGTTTATTTGGGTATTCAAATGAATAACGAATCAGGGACTCTAACTAAAACTATTTACTAATCACTAATCGAATAGCCAACTTTTACTTTACTCCACAACTCCTCCACAACTGAAGTCAACTTACTGAACTTACTTTGTAACTGTACTCAATGTTTTTGCAATATATCTCGAATCTAGAGTAGTCCAGATTAGATCTAGATCAATAATCGAGTAAGTCTAGTTGTATGTACGTTTTAGTATCACAAGTATTGGTACTTAAAACTTATGATCAATGGGGCAGGTGAAGTAGAGCTCGCTTGTTTCATTGAGCATCATTAAATTTAAATTAAAAAGTGTTAAACTGTTGTTAAGTAGGCTACACAGTACTAGGTAAGCAATATAAGTATTTTGTATTAATTAATAAGTACAAGTACAAGTTACAGTCCACCAAGCTATGATCTGAAGGGTACTTGACCTGACTTATGTTTCATGATGTTAGGGACAGTAAATGTGTCTGGGCATAGCACTGGCCACATCATCCCTTCATAATCATATCTTACACTACTACTAGAATAAATAACTAGATCAGGAAACATAAGAACTCTACTAACTACTTCATATGTCCTATGGATTGTTAAGTCTTAAAGGGGAACACTACATTTATATACTTTATGAAAGTGTTTATATAATCTAATTTAGCTTTAAGTTTCACTTTTTTATGAGTATGTTATTTAATAATATACTTTAATAATAATTATTAATAAAAGTGTATAATAATGACAGATGTGTCTTCACCATGTCCCATGATGGAATAGTGATTACAGGATCCAGACCACCCTCTGCATTATCCTCTCACAGACCAAGTTCTGCAAACAGCAAACACCAAGGTTATCATACTTTAGCAAGAAACTCATCAGTTGATGAATCTCTTTTTGGGTAATTTTCTTATATGTTACCTACACAGTGTTTACACTTGCGACATGTCTAGGAAAAAATTAACTTGCAACTAGATCATTAATGTTATATGAAAGCATTTTTTCCCACGGAACATTTATACTTATTTGCGAATTTATATGTATAGTATAGACCCTACATGTCACAAGTGTAAAGAGGTGTTATAGATATTTTTATATTCTACTTATAACCATTTAATATCACTAATGAATTTTAAGCCCTCTTTTTTATGCTAAATAGTATTATATTTAATAAGGTAGCTGTAATTGGTGTACAAAAAAGTATTTGCAAAAATCATATAAAATCTTAAATCATCCCTACTTTTATTACTACTAATCTTTTTTTTTTTTTACATATCATGTCTTAAGAATCCATTTTGTTTTCAGATCACAATATCCATCACAGCTAGATAAAACAGTAATAAACTTTAAAGCACCATGGGAATACCCTAAACCTGCACCTCCTCGAAACAGCTTTAGTGCTGCACCAGTAAAGAAAGTAGAACCACCCAGACCCAATGGGCCCCCTTTGCTTTGGTGCCCCCCACCTAGTGAGACATCACGTCCTCAAATAAGATCCAAGACCAAATCTAATCTCAAAGACTCTGCTTATTTGTGGAGCACAAGGGATCATTTTAAACATCTTAAACACACTCCCACTTTTGTTGATGAGACACTCTTTGGTTCTAAGCTCCAAGAGCCTTCATTTGAAGCCCCTTGGAATGCAAGAAAGAAAGGGGAGAAAAAAAAGCCCAGACCATACCTTTGGGATCCTTCAGTACCAAGCAACAAAGCTGACACGTCTACAAACGGTGGATTATCACAGCGTCCAGCAACAGCTTTAGGTCTTTCTAAAAGTAGGAGTAAAGGTGGCGGGCAATCTAATGGGACTATGCCTGTCTGGAAACCCTAGTTTCCCTTTTTTATATGTAGACTTGTTACAGAAGTGTTGTGTTAATGTTGGCATTTGTTCGTTGAAGCAGTAGTAAGGACAACAGATCAGTATGAGAAAGCAATCATAGCAATGATGAATAAGTGCATGTCCAACATTATCTGCCTGTTGTCCTTCTTGTAAAAAAAAATTGCTTAGTCAAAGAGCAAATAGTTTAAGTTAAGGAATTGTTAGGTTTCAAAGTTGTACATATTTCTTGTATATATGAAAATTAGCTGTCTTCCTTTATCATTCCAGTGGTCAAAATTGCCAAAATTTCATGTAGAATTTAAAACTAAAGCATTAGTACCTAATAATACATGTGCAAATTTCATTTCTACTCTGACTAGAAGTCAGTCCTTGACAACTAATTATGGTTGAATAATATATTTACTTTTAAATGTATTTTTGATTTAATAGTAATAGTATAGAAAATTCTCAAAAGCTTTTACTTTCATGAAATAAAATTAGACTGATCTCATCTCCTTGGCCATGTGTTGTTACAATTCAATGAGTATATTTTGAAAATGTGCATTTTTATAGTTATAAACAAAAAAAACATTCAGAATATTGAGCTAATCAGCATTGTTAAATTGTATGACCACAACATATAGGAATATGTTTTACTCAGGCATGATTAATTGTAAAATTTGTGTGGATTAAAAGTTTTGAAAGTTCATCAAAAAAACAAACTAGAAGGGACAGAATCAAACAGCGTGTATTTTATAAATTCTTTTTCAGATTTGGCTGCAGTGTGGTTAATTATGCTTTAAGTAAGGATTCTTTTGTAATGGCTATACAGCCAATTTACATGGTGCTTTTTTATTTTATTAATTAACAATACCTATTCAATGTTTATTTTTATAGTATAAGATTTTTTTTTGTCATTTTATTTTTTGATTTGCTTAAAAGTTACATAATAATTGTTATAAGGATTTTAGTGTGCATTAGTTTTACATGTTTGAAAAATTTAATTTTTAGTTTAGTAAATCCATTAGCTCAATTTTTATTACAACAGCACATATTTTATTGGTGTTTGTACTACCACCTGAGTGTCCATAGCTAACACACTTTTATAGAGAAAGTTTTAAACTACTCATACCCAGTAACAGAACAGAAGGTATTATAATGTAAATCTATATGACCTTTGACTATTTTTCTGGATATGTAAAACAAAACAAAAAAATACTGAAATTGAAATAAAAAACAAATTAACAATTCTCTTTTGTGCATTAAATGTTATTTACAACCTTGGCATTGAAATAGTTTAAAAACAAATATTTAAACACTGGCTTTAAGATACAGAAACTTTGACTAGCATTCTGTTAGCTGAAAAGATATCCTATGCAAACTAATCTGATCCACTTGTTTGCATTAATAAATTAAACACAAAATCTAAGTACAGTATCACCATTTCAAAACCAGTGTTTTTAAATGTTTCTAAATTCAACTCATATGATGCTAGTACTTCAAAACCTAATATTTACATAAGAGTTATACACTGTTTAACTTACAATTCATTATTCATAAGTTTCTAAATCAACACCAAGCAAAATGTATGCTTATTTTATAAATTTAATTTACATTTCCCAACATAATCCCGTTCCCACTAAAACAATCTTTATTAAACAGATGACATGTCTTCATCCTCTATTTCAGGATCACCTCGACATCTTTTACTCTGGGTAATCTCCCTCCTTATTTCTGGGGTTATCTCATGGTGATCATGAATGTTTATCAACTTTAAAATCTGTGACTTCTGTTGTTTTGTTAAATCATTCTTGTATCTCTGGGCTAATGTCAATAAGCACTGATGCCATAGAACTGGCATTTTTTCATCAACATCCATGAACCTGGGAAATACATTTTACAATAAAATTAAAATTATTCTGCATCTTATTAATACAAAGACTAGACAAATGCACTGTGTCAGTGGCAGATAATACCGGCAGAAAGAAAATGGAAAAAAACCCTCAATTGTGGAAAAATAAAGTGAGACAGAAAAAAATAATTTGTATTTCACTGGGGTACATAAGTGTCATATTTTCAAATCTAATTTATTATTCTGACAAATTTAGTATTCCTTTTGTTAAAGGATGGATTAAGAAATTAAGAACAGTACATATTTAAAAAAACTAAATCTTTTGAATACTAGACAGGGACCACAAAATAAAAAAAACTAGTACCAGTTTTACTGGCATTTATCACTTTGAGCTAGTCGTTCCAAGTAGTGGTACTTAAGTGCAAAACTAAAAAAAACTACTACGTACCTCATAAAATGTTCCACAACAGCATCAATAGCTGAAAGAGGCAGAGAATACTTTTTGTTCAATATTGTACGCATAAATATACTGTTAGCCCCATTGTACTCCATTTTCGAAATTAAAATAAGTGCCGCTGCAGAATATCCAACTGGAATAGATGTCTGTGACACAACTCCTGCCACTATGGTTGCTTCCCTTAGTGTGCAATCACCAGACTGAAAACACACAAAATAATTTCATCTTATATGCAAGGTCAAAAAAATGTATGGTTATGAAATCATATCATATAGAAAAATTTAACATAATGAACTAAAATTTTCTTACCTCACATAGTGGTAAAACAATTCCTTCATAAAAATCACCAGGTTTGTAGATACTTTTATGGAGCGCCTGCAATATTGGATGTTTTAAATAGTGATTTAAAAGTTAAAACTTCAAGAAAGTAATTTAGACAGATATTAGAATGGGCTGAAATATGCAGCCAATGCCTGATAATCAGTGTACTGTAAATGTTATCTTCAGCCAGCTATTTCATCAACTTGACAAATTTATGCTTTAAACTTGATGTTAATATTTTATGATAAAATTATTAAAGCCAATGTTAGCAATAGACAAAACCACTTTGCTTATCAATACTTTTTAAAGTGTTAAATTCAACCATGATTAATATAGTTACATATCTATTTTTTTTTAAATTCTTAATGTTCAGAAACAAAAAAAGGTAAAACTTACCTGAAACAGGTGAAAATTTAGTCGTTTATATTCAACAATATCATCACGAATTCGAGGTAAGAGAACAAGGGAACAGAAGCTGAAATGTTAAATGGGCATAGTAGAGCAACAGAAGGTTGAGCTGTATGAAAAACTATCATTTTTACAAGCTAGCATGAATCTGTTACTTACTCTTTAAATTGATACTTGGGTAAATTGGAGACAAAAATTCTTGTACCAGCATATACAGAAGCAGCTGTCCAGTTCTCAGGTTTAGTCAGCTCCAAAAGCTATAGACAAAATACATTTTTATGTAGAGAAAATAAATTTTTAAATAAAATATATTTTATACAGACAAATTATATTTTTTAAATTATATTGGCCAATATAGTTTTATGGTGTAGAAAGTTTTAAGCGAAAACTTATTTTAATAATAAACAGTATATTAGCTAATTATAAGCAAAAACAAACCTGTTGCCAATTAGGGAAAGAAGGAATAGCTTTAAATCCCTTAGGTAATTTTCCACTTCGATAATGAGATAATACTTCTCCAATTTTAATAAAATGTTCTTTAACAGTTTCATCTATTTCCTCCTCTATGTGAACATCACTCATCATTTCTATTTTTAAAAAAAAAAGATTTTTTTAAATGTACTAATTCTGATTGGTTTAAAATGATTAACAGCATACTACTAAGAAAAAGCAATACAACTTACAACAAAAATGCTTAATTTTTAAATTAAAGTTTACCTAATGTAATTTGTGTATAGTGATAAGATAATCTTTTAAATAAGAAACTTTAAACACCCGGGTTACCTGTCATAGCTGTTTTCTTCTCAGCTAACTTTTCGGTAATAATATCTGCTAAAGTTCTCCTCTGCTTTGGGTTGGGGTTCATAAATTTCCTTATATCATTTTCATCTTCATCATTAATTTCCTTTTGGAAAAAAATAAACATATAAAATTATCTATTCTGTATTCTTGTTTGAAAAAAACTAACAGCTAAAAAATAGCATTACTCAACACAGTACTGCAATTTAAAATAAAAAGATTGTAGACAATAAATCAAAGTCCTACCATAATGGTTTTCTCCATAAGAGCGAAATTGTCAAAAAGATGTTTATCAGCCTCATCGTTATCAGAATCACTATCTGCTGCAGCTGAAGCGCCACCCAATTTTATGTGTTTACTGCCTGGTTGTTTTAACTTTGGTTTAGCTCTGAAAGGAGTTGACAGACAAGTAAGAAAACAATACAAATGTACATACTCTAAGACAACTAAACCATGTAGAATTTCATCAACATACCCTGAATGTGACCCATCAGTCTCTTTCAATAAATCCTCTTCCTGTCTTCGCGCCTGAGCTAGAATCTTTTTTGATAGCTTTTCATCAATGAACTAAAACAGAAAACATTCTTGATGAGCAATTTAGTTAGCAAGGTTTGATAAATGTATAAAATCAGCTATTTCACCAGATATGGGATGGTGTGGTAGAATGGTAGAGCTTTTGACTGCTATACAGAAAGTCTCAAGCTCAGATCCTGCTTTTGTGTCTGTTGGATGTCCCTGTGTCCAATTAGCTCTGATGGGTACCTGACATATTTTAGGGAACCTAAGTCGGCTGACCACACAATCCCTTGGTAGGTCGAGGTCGTTAAAACAGATTAACTCTACTTCATCTGTCCCATGTGATATCACTAAATATTAACATGCAAGCTTACTATATGTACTTAATTTTGTTTCAACAAATTTTTTTTTACAAGTTAAACAGTAATTTTGAGAATATGATGGCCTACTGATAAGTAAATGAGTAATTATTTGAGTATCTAAATATGCATATTTTTAGCTATGTGTGCTTTGATATTAATTAGTTGACAATAAATTATTTGAAAGTAAGAATGAACAAAGGAAGCCTTACTGGCAATAACCATGGTAAACATATCTTATTGAGGGTCTTGCCCAACTAAACTTTTCGGTTTATCAGTTTCATGATTTTTAAAATTAAAATGGATACACTTTGCAATAGAATAGAGTGAACTAGCTAGAAAATAAAGTAATTAATTTTCTGAAACTGGCTAGTATATCCAATACATTTGCTATTAGAACAAGTTAATGAAGTTTATAGTTATAGTTTCTTGTGACCATCCTATGCTATAAGAATTTAATCAATTTAGTTAAGACTTGCACTAGACCTTAGCCACTATTCTGGATGTAGAGTAGAAAAAAAATATAGAAATAGCTTGGCTTACTAGTTCAACTAGTAGTGTGTGAATAAGCTTAGTAGTTGGCCAGGATTGGGTATACAACTAGTATGCTACTTTATCTATACCACTGAACTTTTGTTTTTAAAATTAAATGATAGGATTCTAAGTATGCTTAATAGCCTAAATCAAATTCCATTTTTTTAAATTTTAGTGTCATTTATGGTAAATAAAACAAATAACCTATCATTTTAGCGTCATTTTTTCACTGCTTCACATGCACCTCCAATTGAGCATATATTATAAAAACACTACCGAAACGCACAAAATATTACTAAAACAGTAGGCCTACTTCTTCATGTTCTATGAATTTTGGTTTTCATTAGTAAGACCTATAATTGTCAAAAATCCCAATTCGACAATAACTAAGTTTTACTTAACGCTTTTTTATTTACACCTGAAAATCATGGGTAAAGTAATAACCTCTTGTATTTTGTATCACTGCAATGTTTAAGGCATCTCACGTAAGTGGTAATAAATGCTTCTGTGAACTCGCAAAGATCACAGAAGTGACACCACATTTTCAAATTGAATCAAATAGTAACTGCCAAACCTAAATATGCTGATATCTAAACCAATGTGAACTTGCATTGACCCCCGATTTTTGTCTCACTGACAAAAAACTAGAATCTATGAGCTGGTGATGTTTATGATTGAATGTTTAGAATTTACAAAGTACTGAAAATGACCAAGATCATAATATATTTACTATTCTATTGTACATGTTTTTGTTTGTTTTGTCCACAAAGGATTTTGTTATTTTTAGTGATTCTATTCACTGTACTGTACTGCATGCTGTTCTAATTGAAACAAACATAAATTAAATTCATAACAAAAATAAAGAAAATAAGAAGTACAGGAATCTAGATTATTCTAGACTAGATCAAGAATCTAAGTAGTCTAGTGTTTTCCTAGATCGAGGTCCTAATGTTTTGTGTTTTGGTACAAGGGTGGGTACTGGGGTAGTGATCTACTCTAGCACAAGTTAATAGAGTTCAGAGGTGTTTAAGTGCCAATGGCGAATAAATTACGCTAAAATAGAGTTTAGCCCAATTTGGGTCTGATAGAAATAATTGTGTGTAGTGTAGCCTTATTGGTAAAATCACGATATAGCGTCGGTTATTATTCCGGAACTGTCCAGCAGTAAAAAACAGTAAAACCATGGCGTTGTCTGTCGAGCCGTTCCGGAAACCACCGGAAATACTGTAAACCATCATTTATTTGCCACCATATTATTTTTAATACATAAATTTAAGAATGTGCAAGGATTGATTTTAGTTGCATTTTAAATACTGTTTTGCTAATTATTTTGTATTTCTAATTATTTTAAGTGTATGTGCTAATTATTGCTGCTACTAAACATTATTCTAGTTATTCTTACTACTTTTAACTTTAGTTAATCTAATCGTCTTATTTATTAACAGAACTAGAGCTGGTTGTCGCAAATCTTCTGCAGGTTTTTTCTGTTTCTTAAAAAAAACATTAATTACTACACTCGACTTTATTAATAATATTTAGATTTACTGATTGTTGCTTATTTTTTGTCAGTTAAACATGAAATTAAGTTAAAACAATAATTTAATGCACTTGACTCTATTTTTATTTCACCGGTCAAATAAACTATGGTTTACTTTTTTACAGTAACGAATGTTACCGAAACTCAACGAACATTACCCAATAATTTCCGACGCTATATCGTGATTTTACCGCCTTATTTATTAAGTCTAAGTAAATGGGTATTTAGTTAATAACTGGTTTTATTTTTAAAATATTTTTTTTTTTGCTACCGTGTCCTCTTCAGCTCTGCGTCGCTCCTTGCCAGTCTTGGAACTGCCTTGCACATGTTGTTGCTCTTTAATTTGTTCGTGTAAACGCTTTCTTTCTTTTTTTATTTTCCCCATATTATGCTTAAATACGCTATACGTAAAGAAGACTAGACTACTACTGACATGTAATAATAATAAATTTCTAGCTAGGCCTAGTCAAGTCTAACACAGAACCATGTGCTTTGGAACGACTGCTGTGAATGTAAACAAATAAAAACATCAACCACTTTTTTCGTTTTTCACTGGATCTGTCTCAACATGGATGTACTACCGGTTCCCGTGTTTCTAACCAATCAAAGTCCGTATAACTAGAGCCGGTGTGTCGTCGTGTACACACGTAGCTAGTTTCCTACAAATACTGAGATTAAAATAAAATTTGACCAGTATTTACATTTATTGGTAGGTATTATGCATTTTTTATTAAACTGTTTGCAATATTTAAAGTGCTAAAGTAGGAGGTTGTAAGGAGCTAACCTCATTAAGTCGAACTTTAATATAATTCTAGATTCTGGTTAAGTAAGCCCCACTGCCCACTTTCTTCTTTAAAAAAAAAAAGTTTTGTTACGAAAAGTTGAGTGGGCATTGGAGGCACAGAAAATCGGCGAGAATTAGAATGTTATATGAAGGAGATCGAGCTTGCATTCCATACCATCTTCTCTGTAATCACTGTAATTAATGAATGCATCAACAATCAACATGTCTTTACTGACATGTTGTAACTTATTGTTGTAAATTATCTTCTGCCACCAATAGTGTCCAATAGACTACATTTTTTTCCTTTATTGATTTTGTGTGTGAAATAAAAAATAAGTAGATTTAGAATAAGATCTAGATCTAGGCCTAATATTAATTAAAAACAACAGTCTGCTCAACTTGAAGAGAAATTCTTTCTGCTGATGTGCACCCATCATTCTAAGATTATACAACTAAGAACTACTACGAAGTCTACAGTGTTTTTTAAAAACAAAAAATTCTACCAAGCTTGCAAAACTGTGCAGACTTTATGAATGCACTATTTATATACAATGTACTGTTTCAACCCTTTCTCCATTATGATAATAAAAATTAAATAATAATTTATATAGAATTGATTGATCAGCTACATCATGAAGAAAGCACAAGGTGCTTGGGGGCTGCAGTGGCTCATGCGGATGGCGCCAGAGAAACAAGACACTTTGCTGAAGATGGTGATTCTTACTGTTGCAGCTATTTTGTGTAAGGATTAAAAGTTATTTAATTGTGCAAAAGTTTATGGTGTTTAAACGAAAAAAAACAACATTGCCAACTATTAATAAATGCTAATAATTTATATTCCAGCCTTTTCAACCCGTCTGTTCTCTGTGCTGCGTTTTGAGAGTGTGATCCATGAGTTTGATCCTTACTTCAACTACCGTACAACAAGATTTCTAGCTGATGAGGGTTTCTACAGTTTCCACAATTGGTTTGATGATAGAGCTTGGTACCCATTAGGGAGAATCATTGGAGGAACCATCTACCCAGGTATGCAGTGTTAACGTATCACTGCTTGAACTGCTTTCTATCCTTAAATACAAATTTCTTAGAATAAAATTTTAATATGTTTTATTGACAGGTTTGATGGTCACCTCTGCCCTTATCTACCATGTGATGAACTTTTTCCATCTCACCATTGATGTGAGAAACGTGTGTGTCTTTTTGGCACCATTGTTCTCTAGCTTTACGACCATTGTAACTTTCTACTTCACTAAAGAACTCAAGGTGTGTGGAATTTTTCTTTACTTTTAAAATGCTATGTTGATGTCTGTGAATTTTATTGTTACATTAAAATAAACTTGAACTGTAGTTAATATAAATTTGTTATGTTAAACTTTTTTTTTACTTTCAGGATGCATCTGCTGGTCTGGTAGCTGCTGCCATGTTGTCTATTGTTCCTGGTTACATCTCCCGTTCAGTAGCGGGCTCTTATGATAATGAAGGCATTGCTATTTTCTGTATGCTTCTAACCTATGCACTTTGGATAAAATCAGTGAAGACTGGATCAATCTTTTGGGGTGCCCTTTGCTCCCTAGCTTACTTTTACATGGTAATTTTATTTATATTTCACTATTCATTTTTTATGACAATTGTACTCTGTATTTAAATATATTGTCTTTTATTTATTTCTTCTAATAGGTTTCATCATGGGGTGGTTATGTGTTTCTAATTAACTTGATTCCACTTCATGTCTTGATGCTGATGATCACTGGCCGATTTTCTCACCGCATATATGTAGCCTACTCAACTGTGAGTAAACTTAAACTTTGTGTCTAAAAAAGTTGTTAGATTCATTTTGATTTACTTACTTAATTTTTACAAATTTCTTTTTCTTAGGTATACTGCCTTGGTACAATTCTGTCAATGCAAATTTCTTTTGTTGGATTCCAACCTGTTCAGTCCAGTGAACATATGGCTGTAAGGATTTTTCAAACATTTAAAATTAGTTTGTAATTATATTGAAAAATATGTACAAGGTTTAATGTGAATTAATGAATGTATATATTATATCCTCCTAATGGAACGTTTTTTTATGTAGGCTTTGGGGGTATTTGGTCTATGCCAAATCCATGCATTTGTGGACTATCTTCGATCCAAGATGTCCCGTGAGCACTTCAACATCCTCTTCAAGAGCCTTGTACTGTTGGTTGGAACAACTGTCTTTGCAGCTGCAGCAGTAGCCACTGCTTTAGGCAGTATCCTTTTTTATGATAGATCAACTTATTTCATCGCCTCTGTGAAGTTTCATGCTAATTATATTTACCATTATACTGTAAAATATTTGTTTTCTCATCATCCTTCACTTAAAAATTTGATTTTTAAAGTTTTTAAAAGATAGAGCTTAAAGTTATATATCAAGGACCTAAATTTCAACTAAACAATTCTTTTTAAAAACAATTACCCATTTTAGTGCTTAGCTTTTTAAATCATACTGTAATATATAGTGCTATACGTCAGTCTTATAAATCTAATGTTGTTACTTTAGTAATTTAAAAAAAATAAATTCTGTTCATTTTGTTAAACAATTATGGAGGTCTGAGTATGGTATATTCTTACTGTCATTTAATTTTTTGCAAATTTTCCATAACCATAACCCTACAGAGGTGGCACCATGGACCGGTCGTTTCTACTCTCTTTTGGATCCATCCTATGCTAAAAACAACATTCCCATCATTGCATCTGTCTCTGAGCATCAGCCAACAACCTGGAGTTCATTTTATTTTGATTTGCAGCTTCTGATGTTCTTGTTCCCTGTTGGACTTTACTATTGCTTTGTGAAGCTCACTGATGCTAATATCTTTATCATCATGTATGGAGTCACCAGTATCTACTTTGCTGTGAGTAGTAGATGTGAAAAGGCTTTTGTTTTGTTTAGCTTAAACGCACATAATTCAGTTAAGTACAATGTTAACATTAATTACATATCATTATACTTTTCTAAATTTCTTTAAAGGGTGTCATGGTGCGTTTGATGCTTGTTCTTGCTCCTGTCATGTGCATCCTTGGAGGCATTGGTATGTCCGCTGTGCTCACAACATACATGAAAAATTTGGACAACCCTATGAGGAAGGAGAAAAAGTCTGTCAAAAAGATAGAATCCAACTATCCTCTTAAAAATGAAGTAAGTTTAGGCATACTTAATTTTTGTGCATACTTAATTTATAGTTTTTTCATGTGATGTTAGATAGTAAAGTGTATGATGGTAGAGCTATCTCAGATCCTTGGCTTGAGTCTGTAGAACATAGTGCTGTCCACACCATCCCTTTATATGCCACGGTCTCAGAAACAAATGAACCTTATTTGATTTACCTCATTGAACGTCAGGTTCAAAAGGTTTACTTCATTCTTTTTGCTATGGTTTTTCACTATAATTTAAAATCAACTGAGTATTCACTGGATACATTTTTAAATATCCAGCTCTGATGGGTACCTAACCCACGTTAGGGAAACTAAGTCGGCTGGGTATAGTACTGACCATGCTATACCTTCATATGCCAAGGTCTCTGAAAAAGATTAACTTGACTTCATCTTCCCCATGTGTCTTGGGCACGAATGGGAAATGATGAGGATGATGTACTTCCTAAGCATTTTCTTCAAAAACTACTTACTGTTTTTATTTGAGCATGGTCTATCAATGATTGGTGATCCAAACATAACTCTACTCAGTACAAAGCAAAAGTACTACAGTGAAACCCAAAGTTATTGGTTAAATCTAAAATAAATTAACTTTACCTGATAAATTTCTCCATTTCAGATTGCCACCTGTGTTATCTGCATGATGACAGTTTTCCTGCTTTATTACACATACCACTGTACCTGGGTAACATCAGAAGCTTACTCTTCACCTTCTATTGTTTTGTCGGCTCGCGGCGGTGATGGTAGCAGGATTATTTTCGATGATTTCAGAGAGGCTTATTACTGGTTGAGACACAATACCCCTGAGGTAAAAGTTTTTTTTTTTTAGTTATGCTTAATGTCTTATAAATTGCTTTTATTATCTTTAGTACATATTAAAATGTTCAAATTCTTATATTTGTTTTTTATCTGTGGAAGCTAAGTTACCAATAAAAATATTAATGAAGTTATTAAAATGCAATGTACAAGTTATAAAAAAATATATTATTTTTTGTACAATTTCAGGATGCTAAAGTTATGTCCTGGTGGGATTATGGTTATCAGATAACAGCTATGGCAAACAGGACAATATTAGTTGATAATAATACTTGGAATAATACACATATTTCTCGAGTTGGTCAGGTAAATTTGCAAATTGTTTACATTTGTCATGACTGAAAGGTTTTAATATCAGATACAGAATATTAAAATACATTAAAGGGTTTTGTTTTTTAAAAAAAACTAATGAAATTTTTTTTTTCAGGCTATGGCTTCTTCGGAAGAAAAAGCATATGAAATTATGAGAGAGTTAGATGTTAATTATGTTCTTGTTATATTTGGAGGCCTTACTGGTTATTCTTCAGATGGTAGGTTTTAATTTTAATTGGAATATTTAGACAGTAATTCTTATACTAGCAGGTACAAATTTAAGAGCATACATTTGCTTAAATCATGTGCATTCAATTTGATTCTAAAAAAAAAAAAACATTGATCACAACTATTATACTATAGTCACTGACTTTTTGTGTTTACTATACTTGTAAGATATCAACAAATTTCTGTGGATGGTTCGTATTGGTGGCAGCACTGATAGAGGCAGCCATATAAAGGAGTGGGACTATTACACACCCCAGGGAGAATTTAGAGTGGACAAAGAAGGTTCACCAGTCCTCCTCAACTGCCTTATGTATAAGATGTGTTACTACAGATTTGGCTCAGTTTACACTGAGGGTGGTAAGTTAAATCAAAACCTATACATCTACAAGTTAGTTTATAGTTCTTGTTACACTTAAATTTTTAAAAAGCAGTGTTGTTAATTTTTTATTTTTTTTTAACTTTAGGGAAACCTACAGGGTATGACAGAGTTCGTAACACAGAGATCGGCAATAAAGATTTTGAGTTGGATGTTCTTGAAGAGGCATACACAACTGAGCACTGGCTTGTTAGAATTTATAAAGTTAAGGATTTAGAAAATAGAGGAATTTAAAAATCTTCAGCACAAAAAAACTCTCATAAGAATATAATTAACATGCATCTAACATTAGTTATTGTATCGTGTTCATGCTAAAATCATTGTCTGCTGATTTCATAATCATAATGGTTTACATATATTTACTTATTGCTGCTGAATGATTGAATACAGTCGTTGATAAATAGTTTACACATTTCTTACTAAGAAAAAGAAACATCGTATTTAGGGTAAATAAAAGAATTGCTGCTTAAATATTTTAACATTAAGTGTGTGTCTATTATATGGTGATTGGTGTGATATGTAAATTTTTAAAGTCTTTATAAGTGTAAACATTAAAGATCATTTTATTTTAATCTTAAACTTAAAGAAAGATTTGTTGAGGAATGTTTATTGTGTTTCTTGCTGTTTTTCCTATAGCCTCATGTTAATTAAACAATGTAATATGTTAACCTTTGATTTATTTCTTTTGTTAACAAAGTATTGTTTTAAATTCTGGGTGTTAGCCTAACTCCAATAACATCCATACATAACTCAATGTCACTGAAGAGAATGGTACTGCTGTTGGGCCTAGATATTAGTATTAGACAATGTGTGTGAAAGTTAAGAATACGAAAATAAATTATTTAGCAATAAAAAAATTTGGTTCACAGTACACAACATAGTGTAACGATTAAGAAAAAACCTTTTTTTTTCAAAAAGCTTTTAATGTAACAGAATAAAAATGTATAGTAATGCACATTCATTCATTTGCAGTGTACAGTAGCACATTTGTATCATGTTTTAATGTAATGGTTACACAAACAATTAAAATGAAAGATACAATTATTATACATTATTTTTGTTAGAAATGTGTAGTTTACTTACAGAATTTTCAACATGTAACTTCTAAGATACCTTAATAATATGCCATCCACTTACACAGCTTTTTTATAAAATACATTTTCCTCAAAAAACATGTTTTATGACTTTTGCTTTTAAATTTCAACAACATTTTTAAAAAGTGTTAGCTTTCACTAATAAAATTGTACAGGTTCTTAAAAATATCATTCATAGTCATCAACGGGCAATTATTTTTAACACTTTATACCACTATTCCCTAATATAATTTGATGCAAATTGAAAATATGAATAATTAAAACTGAAAGAACACATATTTAAAACATCAATTCAATGTATGATACTTCATTCTTTATAAAGTACTCCTTAATAAATAAAATTGTCACAGTATTTTTTTTAAAATTAACAAAGCACCTCATTACAATGCACCATTGGTATATAAAAGAATAGAGTAATTTACAGTTTATAAAAAAAGGAGATGGCACACAGTAATTAATCTTGTATTACACTAGTTCTGACAATCTTAGTTCTTCCATTACTTTAAACAGAGTTTGTTTAAAAAAGCAATTACCATAAGGAAAATAAGGTTACATAACAAATGCTGATTGCTTAGAATATTGAGGCATGATCATAACATAGTTTTAAAGTGTTTCACTATAAAAGTAGGCATTGTTGTTGTTCATTTTAGCTTTGGAAAATACTACAGCTTATAAAGTTTATGTGGGACGGAGTGGTCTAGCGGTAGAGAGCTGGACTGCTAACCCGTAAGTCTCGAGTTCGAATCCGGGTTCAAGTCAGTAGACCGTCCCTGAGTCCACCCAACTCTGATGGGTACCTAACTCATGTTAGGGAGAGTAAAGGCGGCTGGGCATAGTGCTGACCACACTATCTCTTCATATGCCGAGGTCACGGAAACAAGTGAACTCTACTTCACTTGCCCCATAGACCGTCAGGTTTGAAAGGGAAACTTTACTTTACTTTATAAAGTTTAGAACATCAAAATGGCTTCACTATTTCCTTCTGCACTAGATTTATTTCATAATTTATAATATTTTTAAAAAATTGTATTAAGCATTTGCATGTTTAAACTTTATGCATGATCACAAAGACCAGAACAAATTCCCCTTATTCATGCATTTTATTTAATATAGGCATAATTAAACTGCAAGTCAGGGTTCAATAACTTAGGCAAAATTTTATTTGGAATTAAATAAATTACATTGCACAGCACAATACATCAGAATACACTTAAGCAATAAAAGCTTCACATGTTGAAAATACAATATCAGAGTAAATATAAAACCCCATCATTTTTTCCCCTTCAAATCTGAGCTTAAAAAAGCTCTTACCATCATCATCAAACATTATTTAAAAAAATCAATACCAATATAAAAGTTCTTAACAATGAACTTAGGAAACCTTAGGCTCATTAGACATAAATTACATTGCACAACATAAAAGCTTTGCAGTTAAAACTGCAATATCATTGTAAATATAAATTGCAAGGTTGTTTTTTTTATTATTATTAAATACATTAGAGCTTAAAAAGCTATCATCATTAAACATAATAAATAGCAATATTAAAACACTTAATAAATTAACTTAGGAAACCATAGCTTTGCCATAAAGACTATTCCATTTTAAATATCAACATGAAATCTAGAAATAGCTTTTCAAATTGTATCAGAGTTAAGCCGTACAGTTTTTATTATGAAACAGCATGTGGATATTTTATTATTTATGATATGAAAACAGCTGTTTCAAAATGACTCAAAAATAAACATAAATTAAGAAACTACACTGATTAAATAAACTTGCCATTTTCAAAACTCATGTCAGTTTTTTTGTAGACTTAAAAATTGCACACAATAATCTTATAATGTTAAATTAAAACCAATAAAAAATGGAATTCTTATTTTAATAATTTTCTTCTATTAATTCACGCTTAAAATGTTACCCCAATTAAGAAGTTGGTAAAAAAAAATGTATACAATGTGTTACACCTCTACTCATACATAACAAAAATTAATACTGCATATAAGCCAGATATGTTGTAATCTGTTAAGGATGGATGGAATCATAATACTAATTAATATAAATATATTGCAAAAAAATATTAATCACAATTAACTATTAGTATGTTAATAGGAATGAACTTGAAAAAAATATTACAATTGATTTCACATTTTAAAATGTAAATGCTTTGATTAATATCTTTTTACAAATAAATAAGCAAAATATTATTTTAAAAATATAAAGAAAAATATTGCTATTGGTTTACTTTAGATATTCAAATATCTTTAGCCATTAATCTATCAATGGAATGGTTACTACAAAATATTTTTACTAAAGACTAAATTCTTTAAAACCGAAAATAAATAAAATGTAAATATTGCTGAAGAAACAATTTTATAGATAAAAAAACAACTATTAAATTATTAAAGATTGTCACTTGTTCTAAAATAACAAGTATATCATAATAATCATATTGTTAAAGTATTAAACAACTGCTGATAATTACAATTGATTTAAAAATAAGTTTAATATTATAAACCATTGAGTTAAAACATTTGTAAAAATAAATATAACACAACTTTAATATTCAAATTTTAAAAATAAACACAATCTTAGTTTAATTATGTCATAAAATAAAAATTCAATTGTTTATATATATATGCTAAAAACAAGTTGTTGGAAATCGTTAGTCTAATTCCAGATTCAGATATTGCTTAAGTTTATTTGGAACAGGGAGCAGTTTCACAGCAATTGGTATTAACTCCTTGTCTGCATTTAGTATTGCACGTCTTATTTGTATCTTACAAATATGCTGCAGTGTTGGGAATGTTACCTTATGCTCTATACCCCATTCATCTGCAATGACACGGTTGAGTTCATATGTAGAATCTTCACTACACCACATATCTGAAACTTTCTTTAGCCGAGAGCAGAAAACTGATCTTCTCATTAAATGCACATAAGAACTGGCTTCATTTATTAGTGTATCCATTTTCTTGGTTAGTTCCTTATAATTTATATTTATGCTAATCAGGAACTGTCGAGCTCCCATGATGCTGTTGACTGAGTTAGCCAAAAGACTCTCAGCACAGACATATGCTTCTGTGCACTGATCGTAATATTTATGTTGCGCTTGGGCCCCTATTTCTAGCAAGCATTTAATGATTTCTACATTGTGGTACTGCACTGCCAGTGTTAACAAAGAATATTTTCTATTCTTCAGCAAAGGTTTACTTAAAATTTCATGCAGTTTTACGGGCAAAGAGTTAGGCGCACTGTGAAGAGGGGTTAAATGCTTAACAAGATAGTATAAATAAGGTTGTGAACTTTTGAACACATCTGTATATTGATTATTAAGGGCAGCCGTCTCTGCATCAATCAAGAAAAAATATTCTCTGCATAACTGTTCTTCATACAGTGGAGAGTGAACCCACAGTAATGATGCATATAAATTTACACTCATACTAGGGAGAAATGAAAACATGAATCTGAGATTTTTCGTACAGGAAATGATTTCTCTCAAAATTTCCTTAACTAATTCTGTGCAACGTAATTGTAAGTAATAGCTCACAGCTAATAAAATATACAAGCATTTGTGTATTTGTCTGCATTTAATTTGATACTTTGAATGATACTCGTTACATGTGCTTTGCAGCTTATGTTCTTTGATTAGGGCTTTAGCAAACATTGCCCAGACAAATCGGTCCTGTCCGACCTGATTTTTGTTATTTTTGTGATATTCTGATACTAACTCATTTATTAAAAGGTGTTGACTCTGACTGTAAAAAAAACAAAGATTTTTTGGGCAAGGAAGTTTGTCTTGGAAAACATTATAGCTCCAATCTAAAATCCATGTTTTGAACTGCGTAATTAAGTGACCTCGCTGCCCCAATTGTTCAGACCCATGCAACATTTTGATTACTTCAGTATGGAACTTAAAATCAATAGCAACTTTAAGAAGCTCTTAACTAATTAATACATTTAATTAGTATCATTTCACTGTTATTACATAACATCATTTAAATGATGCAACAATTAAATATACACAAAAAGTTGTAAATTGTTTGTTGTGTTAGCTAAATTAAACATTTTCAGCCTTACTCACAAATGTAAAGGAAGATAAATACAATTGGTGTAAGTATAATATCTGTATAGCTAAATTAATCTTTAACTTGAAATTAATTTCAATTTCAGCACTGAATTCTGAAAATAAATTTTACATATTTTGCTTAATGACTTACAGGAGTTATTATTTCAAGTAAAACAAAGATCATGTATGTTTGAATAACTAAAAGGATACTTTGTAAACCATGTAATATGCAAGAGGCAAACAAAATTGTATACAGTTATAATTAGAGAATCTGTAAGAAGAATCGACAGGCCATCCAACTCAGTTACCCTGATCCAAAATACTGCTTGTAGAAGAAAGATAGCAGAGACGTCTTGACGACAATATCATTTAAGATATTAAAGGTAGATTCTTTATGCAATCAGGTCAGTTCTGAAATATTCGATTGTTTAAATAATAAATAAAATACGAGCGAAGTACTAGTAGCATACATGTAACATTTGTAATAAGCAGTTGCACTTTAAATAGAACAAATCTGAAAAGTGTTTTAAATTTTAATATAAAAGTTTTAAAATGCACTAAAAAAATAAATTCAACTTTTTTGCTTTAGTAAAAGCCATTATTGGTCAGTAAAATTCTCAGAGATTTTATGAGCAACCAAACCAATGCTTTTGCTAAAAGAAACTTTGCATTTTCATCATAGATTAACTGCATTAAAATTGGATTCTATTATGACTAGAATCTAGATCTATAACTTAGAAGATCTCTAGATGTGTAGACTTGGTGTGTAGACTCTACACTGTAGAGTCTAGTGTAGCGTGTAGAGTTGTAGACTGTGTAGTAGGTAGACTAGACTGTATTCTACTAATTAATATACTATTCTAGATGAGCTACTGAGCTAGACTGCCTGTAGTAAAAGTGTAAACAAGCTAAAAAAGCGGCACTTGTAAGTACTTACTAAGTTACTTACTTAGTAGATTGTAATAAGTAATACCTAATAAGTAGTACTTAAAAGTAAGTACTAACTCACTGAAGCGGCCTTAGATCTACTAATCAGCTGCTGTGCATCTCGATCTATCTAGACTACACCAGTTCGTCATTCTTGATTTTAATTATGGATCTAATAAGCCTAGATCCAGTTTTGATGATTAGTCCATTAGCTATAGTTAGGCCATTAGACTTAGGGGCTAATCTACCACAAACAAGAAAGGGCTTGCATTGTTACTATACTATCGTATGCTTTTTCTATATTTAGCTCAGGTTTGTTTTCAGGTTTGTTTGTATACTATAGGCAACCAGATTTCTCTAAATTGTAAGCTAAACTATTTCTTTATTTTTTTATTATTATTATACTATGTCACTTTTTAAAACCCTGTGATTAAACACACTGGTATTAAACGTAAGCTGCTTGATTTTGGTTTAATTTAATTTTTTGAAAGATATAGTATAGGCTCACTGAAAAGATTATACATTATATAATTCATAGTGCAAGCTGGCCTATTGAAATGACTTGCAGGGTTGGATGAATCGACCAAGAAATAAGAAATGAAAACCCGCAAATAATCCCTATCCAGAAAATTGTCCAAATTAAGCATTCTGAAAGATCTGCAAAATGAGTGTTTATGAATAGAGAAATAAGGCAAACAAAGCTCTACATAGATCTAGATTCTAAATACTACATACACTCTGCTCATAGATCACGAGCAGTTGCGTATCCCGGGGGTGGGGGGAACATTTTTTTTTTTTTTTTTTGGGAAAATAAAATAAATATTATAGAAACGAACGGTAAGTATTGAATAACTAAAATAATGAAACATAATGGTTGTTTTATTAAGGCACCTATCCTGTGGTCACCATCATTACTAAACTGTTGGTTAATGAAAGTGCCTATCGATGACATGATAAAACATTTTACTGTATATGCAGTTGGATGTGGCATGGGCTATATAACTAAAGAGTGTAATTATCATGGCCCAAGTCATGACAAAGGCAGGTTTTTTGGATGGAGGGGGGGGGGGGGGGGGGTAAAAATTCTATACCTCCTACCCCCCCCCCCCCCTCCATCATCGACACAAATAGCCAGACCTTCCCCCGCCCCGCCCCTTTAATATAACGTCACACCTCATAATTTCAAAACAGTAGTTAGTTACAGGATTTTGAGAAACTAATAGTAAAATAAATGCATATTCCGGTTATCGGAAATTGCTGAAAAGTTGACAGAAAACTAAAAAATGTATATAATAATTATATATGACTTTTTGTGAACCCAGCTGAAATAGTAGGCCTACTCAAGTTATTGCGTCCACGTACACACAGACGTGCAGACGTACAATATATTGCCAAGCTAAGTATATCCGTCGAATCTAAAGGTTATGTAAAACTTCGAAGCTTTTTAAAATCCCGATTTTTCCATTTTCCGCACAATTGCAATATTTAGGCCTACTCTTTATTCCGTATACGAGCTATTAAAAATGACAGTGGGTCGTCCATAAATGACGTGACACTCGTAGGGGGAGGGGGGGGGGGGGTCCGTAATTTTGTGACGGTTTGTGATAAGGGGGAAAGGGAGGGTGGTTCAGATGGTGCGACGTCACACTTTTGCATTATCAAAAAGCAATGTTAGAAAACGAATTTTAGACGTTATTTTTGCGTTTTAGAAATTTGTTTTAATAAATTGTAATAGGAATTGATTAAAATACTCTATTTTGACAGAGTTCAGACAAGATTTTAGAAAAATATCGATGTTTAAAAAAAATTCAACTGCTATTTTGAGGGGGGGGGGGTGTAGGCTGAGGCGTGATGTCATTTTATGGGAGGGGGGTCTGGCTTTTTGTGACAACGTATGACGGAGGGGAGGGGGGGGAGGTAAAAATCGTTAAAAAGCGTGACGTCATTTATGGATGACCCCTTATTAAATTGATACCTTTTTATTAAAATGTACGTTTTTTTTTAGAAAAAAGCGACTTATCGGCTAAAATTCAATTGCTTACATCACATTTCTAAAGGGCGGGTTCTTAAAACTTTTTATCGGGAAAGGGTGGAGGGGTGCACTGGTTTAATATAAATATATTTTCTATATAAATTATTTATTTTTTCATTTAGTCCGAAGCGATGTCTGATAGAAGCTCTGATCTGCAAGGCTAAGATTGCAGTGAGGTCAGAATTAAATAATTATAATACATGTAATAAATTATGGCTCCAGTCCTATTAGACCATTACATGAGTGCTCATTGGAAATCGAAGCACTATATGAATAGTGTTTTCTTCCAGACTTTTTTCTCCGGGGGGGGGGGGGGACGACGACGACGACACATACTGTTAAAAGTATATGCTTTCTTTATAAATTTCATTTCGTTCGGGGAAGGGGGGCTCTGCCCCCCCCCCCCTGAAGCAGTGTTTCTTCCAGACTTTTTTCTCCGGGGGGCACTTGAAATTTTCGGGGGGGGGGGGGGGGGTAGACTTTCTTCGGGGGGGGGGGGGGGGGTGCGGACACTTAAAAGTATATATTGTTCTATATAAATTATATAAATTTCATTTCGTTCGGGGGGGGGGGGGGCGGGTAAAAAAAAATTCGGGGGGGGGGGGGGGGGGGGCTTTGCCCCCCAAAGAGATGCCTGGAAGAAACTCTGCCCTGAAGAGATGCCTGGAAAAACCTGTATATGAACATCACGTTACAGAACCACTCCCATTGGCACACATTTTCTCGAAAGTCCGTAGCCTTCTCCCCCTTCCACTAGGATTAATATGGTGCCGTTTACGGATGCCACCCCCCTCTCCCCTCCGTAATGTGGGATATTTTATTGGTCAGAAGTTAACGAAGAAGAATATCAAACTCCATCGTATTTATTTAGGTAGGGTGTAAAAAAAACACGCTGATGTCGTGTAAAGAATATCGGCTGGCTTTGTTGAAATTCATACCCTAATACCGCTTGCATGCTTGGATTGCCTTGACTAATTACCAATTAAATTGATCCGACCTCCCCGATAGCTGCTCTGTACTAGTGTACTATTGAACGGAGAGTCAATGTGTTTAATTGGGACGAAGGCTTATTAATGAATGGTAGAGGCTGACCTTGCTACATTGAGCCAGAGATGGTCTCAAACCCGCAGGCCTTGCCTTGGTTGCCATATTTATAGCATATTATATTATTACGAGCCGGCCCGCGGCATAACATACGCCGCTATTTAGTTGTTTCTAATTTTCAATAATTCATAATTTGTGAATTCGACAGTACCAACGGCTCCAACGCTGACACTGAAAATATTTCTTTAAAACACTATAAGTAGCTCGTTAAGGACCATAACCCCCCCCCCCCCCCCCCCCTTCCTCCCCCCCCCCTCCCCTTCCTCCCCCCCCCCCTACGTTTAAAATCGTTGTCTCTGCTTGTAAACATTTAGAGTGAACACAGCTCACTAAAACCATGTAGGGGGTGGGGAGGTAGGGAGAGCGTTTGCAGCTTGTTTTCTAACGGCTCGAAGAGGAGAATTATATATATAGATTATTATATTAGATCTATAAGTCACAGAAATTGTCTTCTTTGCTGTCAGGGGTGTGCACATCAATGCCACTGCACTGTTTCTTCTTGATAAACAGATAGTATCTAAAACAAATTTATTGAAACATCATCAGTTAATTTTAATCAAGCAGTTCAACGACCATCATCACAAAGGTCTAAAATAAATATGACTCTTTTAAGTTTTAATTAATCACTCAAACCAGTACTTCGGTGTTCTCCCCTATTTAAAAATAAAAAACAAAAGTTATGCCCCTTTATTACATCAAATATTAAATTTTAAAAATAAATAAAAAGACAATTTTTGTTGAAAATAGCTTTTGTTTTAATAATTTTTATCAAATGATTTTAACATCAATAACAACAACAATAAGTACTTGATGACATCACATTCCACAGTACAGCTACACAAGACTTTGCCACCAGATACAAGATTGATTGCACTGTTAAATGGTTCACAAAACAACACTAAAGTCTTAATTACAATGAGCACTCATTGAACACACAAAACAGCATTGAAAAATTTAAAAAAACAAAAACATGTACACTAGTTCAGGAAGTAAAATATACCGTTTTTGTTTAAAAATAAATTATCACAAAATCACATCCTTCAAAATTAAATATTGTAGCATTATATTGTAAATTATATGCATACATTTTACAAGTTTTATCAACTTGTATAGTTGAATACTTAATTAAACTTAAATATTACTGTAGCTTCTCTTATAATTCAAATACTCTATTTGAAGACTCTATCCATTCAATGAAGAGAAAGTGACAAAAAATGTTTACACCTATTTAAAACAAGTTAGATCTATATCAAAATTCAGTTTTGTCATGCATACAATAAAATGGTGAACATGTTTTTGAAATGAGACTTTGCATATATCAAGTTTTTGTTTTAAAATTTAGGAGATAAAAATTTTAAATATAAAAATGAAATTGGTAGAAATCAGTAGCCAGTACAAGTATGAAGTCTGAAGTGTATCATCCATATAATCATGGTCACATAACTATAATTTTTTTCAGAGTTGTGGAGAAGAAGAGTATGTTTGTGGAGGGAGAAAGTGGTTAAAATGTGTAGTTTATACATTTTTCTTTATTATTATGACATCATAAATTATGAACCTAATTAAAAAGGTAAACAAAAAACACATTTCCAAAGTGACAATTCCAAAAGATTACTGTTTTTCTGTTGTTTTGTTTCCCTAAAAAATAAAAATAAAATTTTATGACCATGAGGATATTTCATAATTATAGTTTTTATGAATTATAGTAAACAAAGAGTAGAAAATAAGCAGCAGCATACTGGAAGTAAAAAAAAAATTATAAAGTCCTGGCATGATCAAATATTATCATGCTTCAACACAGAGCAGGGGAATAACTGATTCACATCACCTCGCAGAACAAGATACCTGAGTTTGGTATTAGAGTGAGCTCCCTTGTTTTCTTTACTGAACATAATTAAGCTAACATTGTTTTAGGTTATTGCTTTATTTACCCCATCACAAATATAAATGCAACTGCAACAAAGTATATACAGTATGTTTATTGTTATCATAATTCATGTAACAAAAAACAAAAAAAATTAAAAAGGCATGAATTTCGTTGACTACTCTTCCTTTTGTGAAGTTTAAAATTGGTAAAAGTTTTTGGCAAGCTGTACACTGTTAAAGGGTTAAAATAAAATAAGCAGTGAAGGTACAGCAATATTGTAAAAATGTAAATTATAAGAGTTTACATAGTGTATGGATTTTGTAAAAGGACTTTGAAAAAAAAAGGTGACCATTTTTAAACAGACCAGGTCTACATATAGCATAATTATTGCACAAGACAACATCACACTCATAAAACGACCACCAGACAAGAATTCATAACAAGTTTAAAAAGATTTTGTTCAATGTCAATTCAGCTGCTTTTTTTTTTTAATATACTAAAGCAAGCTTGTAGTTATCACAATAAAAATAATAGCATAACAGATGGGTTTGTACATGGGAAATATGGTTAGCACACCCATATTAGAATATCACATAGGGAATATGGACAAGTGCGCTCACAGGAGTTTTTGTTTTTGTTGGAGAGCAGGAAAGAACTGGATTAACAGTTGGATAATCAGGTCAATCGGTAGAGGTGTAGCGACACCCTTCCCGGCGCCAGACTTTTCAATTTGCACACCCCCCCCCCCCACGATTTTGGTTTGCACCCCCCTCAACCTATCAATTTATTTTTCCAACCCATTTTGGCGCCCCTAAGGTCGGCGCCCGGGGACATATGTCCCCTCCCCCCCCCCCCGCCACTGTCAATCGATTTACCACAGGATAATCAGGTCACTTTTTAAATTGTATTAATTTTAAATGGATAATGAAGTCACTACTTAAGTCACAACCAGATTAACTTAGTTTATTTTAATAAAAACCTTAAAACTCACTTTAATTATCTTTAACTTCACCAGACCCATTTAATTAATTTTCTGACCGTTAATTAGCAGTTGACTTATTCTCTAAATGAGGTTTTAACTTTGTCATGCAAGCGCCCAAGTGTGTATATTAAAAGTTTGATAATAGATTACCATTGATAAGAAGTTTGTATTAGACATGTTCATTGATGTATATAAAAAGGAATGCTTCAATTAATTACTAGTTAATTAAACCCTGACATTTGAAACAAAATGTACCACTTAAAACATCCATACTAGCTTAGCTAGAGAAAATACATGGTTAATTTCTAGAAAACTTAAGAAAATTGGTTTTATATTTTTCTTACTGATTAATCCTACATGCATATTACTGTATCAACAATAAATAATAAGAATTAAAAATGGAAATCAAAACAAGATAATCAATATGAATATGAGATTACTTAGATTTCTTATGAAAATTATATTTTAATAATGGAGCATTCTAATTTAGTCAATAAGTAAGTCATTGTATAAATGTAACTATTCTTATTCTTTTAACCCTTTTGCTGCTGTTTACTGTGTTCATATCTTGAAATAGAACTTTATCATTTTTATGGCAAGTAATGCTTGAGTGGAGATAGGCCTATCCATAGAAAGTCATTCATAGAGTGCAACATTGGAAGTTAAGAATGCAAAACTTAACATAGTATTGGTCTAATTTTTTAATCTTGAGCCTTGCCACTGAAAACAAAATGAAATCACCACAACAATGATATCAAATAAATGCATCATATCATTGATCACTTAAGTGTTTTAAGTCAGTCTCATTTACAGAGACTCAGATGAACTTGATGTCATTCTGTATCTTTTTGTTTGAATAACAAAACCATGCAATATGTCAACTGGATCACAAAATTCAATACTTTTGACTAACAGTTTTAAAAAAAGCAAATGCATCTAAAAACTATTAATATAATTATAGCTATAGAATGAGATTATGTTTTCTTCTAATACACAAAGCATCTTTAAACACAATTTAAAATAAGTGTAGTCCTCATGTTGTGTACTAGTCCTTAGCAGCAAAAGGGTTAATATGATTTTTAAAACAAAACCATGAGCCATTACTGTGACTTGTTCTTTAAGTTTTGTTTTCAATAAATAATCTGTTAACAGAACAGAAGGTAAAAATTAAAATTAGGAAAATTTGTTACTAATTTTAAAAATGTTTGTAAAATGATGAATTTAGTATCACATATTTATAAAACGGATACAAATTTAAATACAATAACACTTTGTATCGATTTTAGTTAATTAATTAAAATTAATCAACTTGTGATCCCTGTAGACTTCATTGCATGTGAGTAGCTCTGGTTTGACAGATGGGTGTCTTACATCACAGCACAGCTGTTGTATTCATCTTCTACTAAAATAGTTATTTCTGCCCATCACTGTCATAATCATCAAAGTTCTCTCCCTGCATGACCTCTGACTGATGGTAGCGCTCCCTACTGGCAAAATCTGCATTGTCTTCTGTCAACTGGGAAGCTGTTGTTTGCAACGCTGGGGTTTTTGGGGCAACTATTATGTGCTCTTTAGGTACATAGCCTCTCCTGAAAAAGAAAATAATTTTAGTTTTCTTATTCTGATTCCATTGAAGTATAAGAAGAAAACAAACAAGCTGATTCCAGTAGTATATTACCTGCATCTGTTAAACAATTCTTTTAGCCATTCATAAAAGTTGAATTCTGCTATTCCTATGGAAGAAAATAAAACAGGTGTAAAATTTGGAAAAGGCAATTTTAAAACAATGGTATATAACTGTGTACAGTAAAGCTCGAGTGTCACCCTACAACACTCCGGCTTCTGCTGTACAGATATTTCAAAACTAATTCCAATCAAGTTTCTTCCCCCCATCTCTTGGGGGGGGGGGGGGGGGGGGGGCAGAGCCCCTCTGAAGAAAGTCTACCCCCCCCCCCCCCCCCCCAAAGTTTCAAATGCCCCCTCCGGAGAAAAAATTCTGGAAGAAACACTAATTCCAATCAGGAGTCATTTAAGTATCTTGAAAGGAATATCTATGGAGCAGCCTGGTCGGAAAGAGGAGCGCACAACTGCTAATATGGAAATCTCGAGTTTGGATCTTAGTCTTGAGTCTATAGGACGTCCCTAAGTTCCCCTAGCTCTGATGGGTACTTGATTCACATTAGGGTAAGTAAAGATACCAGGTCATGGTACTGACCACACTATCCCTTCAAATGTTGAAGTCACAGAAAAATGTGAACTGACTCTACTTCATCTGGCCATTGACCACAAGTGTGACTTAATATGAAATATTCACAACATGTACAATTGGAAGTTTACATTTTTTCTGGCATCAATATGGCACCAAAAATTAAAATTGTTTTTGCTTCATATTTAGTTTCTTACCAGGAAAATAACCAGGACTTGCTTTTCCGATATAGAAATAAATTAGGAAGAATATTAGAATCTCTATAAGGGCGAAGATCCATTGTGTTGTAAACATTATCACAATACAGACCAAACACTGTAAATAAAAACATAAATTCCTTAAGTTAAATATATGAGGCAAGAAACAAATAAATATTTGGTGCAAAGAAATTTTTTTTTAAAAAACATTATTCATTTTGTCTTTGACCTACAATTATAATAAAATCTACATTAATTTCGAAACACATAAACTTAATGGTAATTGTTATGTAGCTGAGCATGAAATAAGTATATAGTTGCTAATGTTAAACACTTCAATTGATCCAACCGATTGAATGGGCCTGACAAGCCTCCATATACCCCACTCATTCTTCTATTGGCTCTAAAGTCTTTAGAATTCAATCACACTTTTGATGCAAGAAATGATAATTTCCACACTTTGTTGCAGTTAGCTCTTTATGAACACTGCTTGCACCAGTTATGCAGTGTAATTAAGAAAAGTAGTTTAATAATTTATAAACCCTTTAAAGTCATCATTAGCATACTTACAATAGTGAGCCTTAATAACTCAAGAATTAATTTAAAAAGAACTTAACACAACTTTAAGTGTCTATTAGTCTTAAATTTCTTCTTCTTCATTCTTGAATGTAATGTTGGTCAGTATTTCCTTCAGCTAATTAAGTATTACGTGTCAGCTTGTTATGTGCCATGTAGGTCAATGACTCCAAATTCAGTCAGCTTTTTGGATTTGTTTCCATAGCATTTGTTTACCCAGGAACAAACTACATGGCTGAAGTTGTTTGATTTTGGAGTTGTCTCTCCTAGATGGGCTGCATTCCCCAGCTATCATCTTAAATGATTAACAAATTCCAACATATCCATGTGCACACATTCCTATAGATCTATGTAAACAAATTAATACAGGTCTATGTAAAAAAATTCCTACAGATCTATGTAAACAAATTCCTACAGATCTATGTAAACAAATTCCTACAGATCTATGTAAACAAATTCCTACAGATCTATGTAAACAAATTCCTACAGATCTATGTAAACAAATTCCTACAGATCTATGTAAACAAATTCCTACAGATCTATGTAAACAAATTCCTACAGATCTATGTAAACAAATTCCTACAGATCTATGTAAACAAATTCCTACAGATCTATGTAAACAAATTCCTACAGATCTATGTAAACAAATTCCTACAGATCTATGTAAACAAATTCCTACAGATCTATGTAAACAAATTCCTACAGATCTATGTAAACAAATTCCTACAGATCTATGTAAACAAATTCCTACAGATCTATGTAAACAAATTCCTACAGATCTATGTAAACAAATTCCTACAGATCTATGTAAACAAATTCCTACAGATCTATGTAAACAAATTCCTACAGATCTATGTAAACAAATTCCTACAGATCTATGTAAACAAATTCCTACAGATCTATGTAAACAAATTCCTACAGATCTATGTAAACAAATTCCTACAGATCTATGTAAACAAATTCCTACAGATCTATGTAAACAAATTCCTACAGATCTATGTAAACAAATTCCTACAGATCTATGTAAACAAATTCCTACAGATCTATGTAAACAAATTCCTACAGATCTATGTAAACAAATTCCTACAGATCTATGTAAACAAATTCCTACAGATCTATGTAAACAAATTCCTACAGATCTATGTAAACAAATTCCTACAGATCTATGTAAACAAATTCCTACAGATCTATGTAAACAAATTCCTACAGATCTATGTAAACAAATTCCTACAGATCTATGTAAACAAATTCCTACAGATCTATGTAAACAAATTCCTACAGATCTATGTAAACAAATTCCTACAGATCTATGTAAACAAATTCCTACAGATCTATGTAAACAAATTCCTACAGATCTATGTAAACAAATTCCTACAGATCTATGTAAACAAATTCCTACAGATCTATGTAAACAAATTCCTACAGATCTATGTAAACAAATTCCTACAGATCTATGTAAACAAATTCCTACAGATCTATGTAAACAAATTCCTACAGATCTATGTAAACAAATTCCTACAGATCTATGTAAACAAATTCCTACAGATCTATGTAAACAAATTCCTACAGATCTATGTAAACAAATTCCTACAGATCTATGTAAACAAATTCCTACAGATCTATGTAAACAAATTCCTACAGATCTATGTAAACAAATTCCTACAGATCTATGTAAACAAATTCCTACAGATCTATGTAAACAAATTCCTACAGATCTATGTAAACAAATTCCTACAGATCTATGTAAACAAATCCATAGAGGTCCATGTAAACCAATTCCCACAGATCCATGTTAACAAATTCCTACAGGTCTATGTAAAAGTATCCACAACAAAAATGTACAAACCCCTATAAGAGAGAGCCATCTGTTACACATCATAGCATACCATGACCTGGGTTGTTGTGTGATCTCTGTGTTAGGCATTCTCTTAACACCTTGGTGAAGAGGGTAAACAAATGCAATTAATTGGTGGACAAACTGGGTCTTCAGGTGGTTATACATGTTGTTAACAGTGATCATAATGTAGGCAGGTGTGTGTTAGAAACCGCCTCCACACCCCCCCCCCCCCACACGTCTCAAGTTAAAGCTAGTGCTGAAAGTGTTGACAATCGCTGTTTCTTTATGTTTAACATTTCAAAGTATTATATGTTATAAGAACAATAATTTCATGTTGTTAAAGAAATTTGTGAATGTGTGTGTATATATATATATATATCTGTATATATAATTCCATTTATACAGATATGTATATATTTATATACACAGATATGAATGCATGTATGTATATATTTATATACATATCTCTCTATATAAATATATACTTAACTGTATAGATGGTATCTCCCCCCCCCCCCCACATTTCTTCATCCTGCCTGAACCACTGATTATTAAAAACTCTATTTATTTAGTTGGATAATAAAAAGGTCACAAGTAAGAAAACAAAGGTTAGGTATAATCCAGCCTTGTCACAGCACATACCCAACAAACGTGAAGTGTCAGACAAATCCTCTGGCTGCCCAGCGTGGAGATTCTCAGGATCAAATTTGGTTTTTGTGGCGTCAAAATCTGCTTCAGGGGTGGTAACTGCGCTGTCATGATCAGGTTGGTTCGTTAACCTTTGCCCCTTGTGTGTCAAACGCTCAGGGAACAGCTTGTCCAGGTCACCAGCAAATTTCTCCAGAGAATCTTTGTTTAAAGTAATGTCCACTGGTTTCTCTGGAACATACATATGCTTTAGTTATCAAATCTGTTGGCTGTGTGAATGAAGAAACTTAACAGATTTTAGTTCAAGATTTATGAAATCAACATTCTATTCTAAGAAATTATACAATTGAATCTTTCCATTACGGTTGCCTGGATGTACATTGATAGTAAGATAAGTTTTGTTAGGATTAATAAAATAACACCAAGATGGAAAAAAGATATATAGCTACTGCGTAGTAAATTAAGAGGCATAAGATTTTTGTGAGAAATTAAGAGGTTTTGGTAAAATCATGGCTGAGATTTCTAATGTATAGGATGAAGCTGTCCCAACTCTTAGAAACACATGATGGGAAAACTGATGGTGACATTATCTAAAATCTAAATCATCCCTTAACCATTGTTTGGGTTGTTGTGGCACAACTGAGTGGTGTGTCTAGGACTAAGTGTCACATGGCCGCGCACACCCCTCCCCATACTTGACCACAGCTGGATGCCTCCATCTAAGTGGCTCGTATTAGTCATGAACACTGGTCATTGAATTTCATCTATGTGAGCTTTACTGTGAGCTTTACTGAAGGTCATACACCCAATGATGCTGTATTAGCATCAGTTGTTTGAATTTGGAGTTTTCTCTCCTAGATGGGTTGCTGTCCCCAGCTATTAAGCCTCATCTGCCCGGGGTTCGAACTCAGGACTTTTTGGTTCAGCAAGCATGAGCTATACCAACCTGACCATGCCGATGTCATTGATATTTTATACTGGTCTAAAAACTTCTTACAGTTCTGGATGACAGATTAAGTAAGACTATTCTTCTTCTTCTTCTTCTTCGTTCTTAATTATAAGTGTTGAAGGGGATCGAGATTGACTCGACCACGCCTCCAACACAATTAAGCGGTACGTGTCAACTGGTTATGCGCCATTGAGGCCATTGACTCCGATTTCAGCCTGCTTTTCTTTTTGGATTTGCTTCCATAGCCTTTGTCCAACCAAGAACAAACTACAAGGCAGCAGTTGTTTAATTTTGGAGTTGTCTCTCCTAGAAGATTTGCTGTCCCCAGTTAACGAGCCTCATCTGCCCGAGGGTTCGAACTCGAGACTTTTCGGTTTAGCAACCATGAGCTATACCGACTCGACCACGCCGACCCCAAGACTATTCTGATAAATTAAGATCAAGCGTAAATATGTTTTGGTTAACAATATACTTCGAAGCGCTACTCATGTTTTTCAAATAGTAAGAATGTTAAACAGACCTGCATGTATAAAACCATTAGAGGCATTGCTCCCTACGCTGTCTCTTCTCTGCTGATCCTCATGACTCCTCTGGTACCTGTCCTCACGCATCTGTCTCTTGTCATAACTCATAGCCAGCACAAAGTAGGAGTAGTCCACCGCAGCATAGGTCAGCAGGAAAGATGTCGTGACAACAGGGGCTAAGGAGTTGACGTCACCGACACAGATGAAGAGAATCGTCACCACGGTGATGGAGAGAAGAGCGAACAGAGGGACTTTGTTTGGTCCACGCTGAAATGAAAACCCATAAATAATAAATACATATATTTTAAATGAGTTACATTTACCAAAGAATGACAATTTCAAGAGAGGCTCATGAAAAAAAATGTAATGAATATTTTCAGAAATACTTAATTTAAAATTCAAATAGAATTCTTTGATTGCTATAATTAACGTTGTAGGCTCTGGTAAAAAAACTTTTAATACTATGCAGGAAACTTATATTTTAAATGAGTTACATATTCCAAAGAATGACAATTTCAAGAGAGGCTAACGAAAAAAAATGTAATAAATATTTTCAAAAATACTTAATTTAAAATTCAAATAGAATTCTTTGATTGCTATAATTAACGTTGTAGGCTCTGGTAAAAAAAACTTTTAATACTATGCAGGAAACAATTATTTCTCTACATTAAAAATACAAAATTTAATTAATTTACCGTTTATACCCAAAAGATTTATATACCCAGAAACTATTTTTTAAAAAGAAACATATGTTGATGCCCCTTAAGATGGCTAAAGAGAAAGAATTGTTTCCTCTATAGCAGGGGTCTCCAAACTACGGCCCGCGGGCCGGATGCGGCCCGCGAGGTCCTTTCACCCGGCCCTCGGACTCTCTGAGATCCTTTTGTCAACGGAAAAAAAAAATTGTTGGAGGTGGCTGAGAAAAAATTCAAAACAAACGGAAAATGTAGCATTGGGTGCAAATACCATTGAAGTTAATGTGGAAAGTTGCCCAGTAAATGACCCCCTTAAAGACAACTTTAAATAAGGGCGGGTGGGTTTTATAAGTATTTGCCCAAGGAAGATATTCCTAATATTAAAACTTTTGCATTCAAGTACCTTTCAAATTTTGGAACAACATACAAACTTTTTCTAGAATGAAGTAGGCCTACGTGACGAACAATTTGAGAACAAACTTGGACCTCGAGTGTGTTGTCGGTCCCCGACAGTGTTTCTTTCAAATTTTTTTCTCAGGTGGGAGGCACTTAAAATGTGTATATATATATATATATATATATATATATATATATATATATATATATATATATATATATATATATATATATATATATATATATATTCTGTTGGGTGTGTGGTGCGCTCTTCGGGGGGGGGGGGGGGGGGGGGCTCAGCCACCCCGAAGAGATGCCTGGAAGAAACTCTGGCCCCCGACCTTATATTTGATAGTTAATGCGGCCCTCGGGCTGAAAAGTTTGGAGACCCCTGCTCTATAGTATTAAAATATTTTTTATACCCTGCGGCTATACCCCTAAAAAGAAATTGTATCTGCAGCATAACATACCCCATGGCCTAGGAACTTTATAACAGGGATAACATTTTCATTAGCAATAGACTGAAGAATTCTAGAAGGTCCATACAAACTGCCCATACAAGAAGACACAGAGGACAGGTATAGTCCAGCTAGCCACAGCACTCCTACTATGGAAACCTGTGAATACATTGGAATGTCAATACATACAATGTCAGCATGTAAACACAGCATATAGTAATCTGATGTAGTTGAGTAGAGTTGAAGGATTTAGAGAAAGGCGTTACATAAAGGTGAAAGATTCTGATTCAGTGACATCACAATGATTATATATAAATTTAAAAATGCTGGATCTTCTTCTTCTTCGTTCTTATATTTCAGTGTTTCAAGGGATCCCCTCCAACACAATTAAGTATATGTGTCAACTGGTTATCCGCCACTGAAGCCATTGACTCCAATTTCAGCTTGCTTTTCTTTTTGGATTTGCTTCCATAGCCTTTGTCCAACCAAGAACAAACTACAAGGCAGCAGTTGTTTGATTTTGGAGTTGTCTCTCCTAGAAGAGTGGCTGTCCCCAGCTAACGAGCCTCATCTGTCCGAGGGTTTCAACTCGAGACTTTTCGGTTTAGCAACCATGAGCTTTACCAACTCGACCATGCCAATCCTGATCCCAAAAAAAAAAATGCTGGATAATTCAATCAACTTTTCTGGACTTTAAAAAAGAAGAATTATTGAGCCTACCTTTTCAGCTATCATGTAGTCTGCTATAAGGTAAGCTCTCATGCAGGTGGCGCCAAGCACCAGAACCAGTGACATGTACAAGAAGGTTCTGAGATTGATCATGAACAGAATATTTAAATATTGCTTTTATTTATAGAAAAAAGTCTATTTTTTAACCTGACTGTCCATGTGGCAAGTAAAGTAGAGTTAACCTGTTTCTGTGAATTCATCATATGAAGGGATAGTGTGGTCAATACTATGCACTGCTGTCTTTACTTTCCCTAATGTAAATTAGGTACCCATTAGAGTTGAGTGGACTCATGGACATTCTACAAACTTAAAACTGGATTTAAACTTGAGACATTTAGGTCTAGCACTCTACTGCTAAGCGGCTAGGCCACATTGACTCATGAATTTATTCATATTGTTCATTAATTATACAGGCTAATTAAAATGAAGTTTTTGTCTGAAATATAAAAATTAAAGCTTATAAGACAACAGGATACTTCAAAAACATGTAAGGCCTAACTATAAAATATGAAATAATAATATTAAATAACGCTAAGCTTTCTGGTTGATATAAGTGAATGAAGCAGAGCTAATCTTTTTGTATGACCTCAACTTTTGAGAAAACTGTTAGTCAAATGAATAAACACCAGGTTCAAACTAGACTGATTAGAATATGCAACATACATGAGAAGCAAACTAAAGACTTTCTTTTACTGAATGCTAAACACTCAGCCAAAAAGTCCAAAGAAATAATAAAATGTAAAACAATATAGATCTACAAACCATAAAAACATGGAATACAAAATAAAATTTACAAGCCATAAATACGCTACAAAAATACAAATTAGAGAAGGCATATAATATAGAACACCCAAAACATCAGAAATACTGTAAATTAAAAGATTGGATGAAATGTTGGAAAATTTTTCTGGCATGTTTTGACTCACCCAACACCCAGTGCAGCCAGAGTTCCCTGTGGTATGTTGTGAAATGGGTCTTTCAAGTCCCCACTCATGTTGATCCCTGCCAGTACACCAGTGATGGTTGAAAAGAAAAGGCCAAAAATGGTGAAAAAGTTTTCACCATTCCTGTAGTCTGGGCCAGAGTTGTTGAGAAAGTTGACATCGTTGTATCCTGTGACTCCATTCACTGTAATTAGAATTATATGTAACCTGTGACTTCGTTTACTGTAATTATAAATATATGTAACCTGTGACTCTGTTTACTGTAATTATAATTATATGTAACCTGTGACTCCGTTTGCTGTAATTATAATTATATGCAACCTGTGACCCCATTTACTGTTATGATTATAATTATAATTGTGACTCTGTTTACTGTAATTATCAAGAAAAAGTTGATGCATTAGGAGCCATCTCGCAGCGCGTAGGTCTGAAGATCAACAAAGAAAAGACGGAAATGATGAGAAATAACAATAAACAGGAGGCTCCAGTGTCAATAGACGGAAGACAAGTAAATGATGTGCAAGAGTTTGTCTATCTTGGCAGCAAGATCAGCAAAACGGGAGGCACAGAGGAGGACATACGCGCTAGAGTTAATAAAGCCCGCTGCGCTTTCACAGTCCTGCGACCCATATGGAAAAGTTCTGCCATCTCCATTACCACAAAAATTAGGATATTTAACTCTAATGTCAAGGCAGTTCTGCTGTATGGAGCAGAGACATGGAGAGTCTCCAAGGCAAGCACAGCAAAGATACAGACCTTCATGAATAGATGCCTTAGACAGATACTGAAACTAAGATGGCAGGACAAAGTGCCGAACTTGGAACTATGGAGGAAAGCTAGGCAGGAGCCTATAGGTGTGCAAATAAGAAGGAGGAAGTGGCGCTGGGTGGGTCACACACTGTGAAAGGCTCACACAAATGTTACACGCCAAGCGCTTGAGTGGAACCCCCAGGGAAAGCGGAAGAGAGGGCGCCCAAGACAGACCTGGAGGCGGAGTCTTCTTGAAGAACTGAAGCCAATAGGGATGTCTTGGGAGATGTCAAAATTAATAGCCGAGGATAGGAAGAAATGGAAGGAAATGGTGGAGGCCCTATGCTCCATAAGGAGCAAAGAGGACTAAGCTAAGCTAAAGTTACTGTAATTATAATTATATGTAACCTGTGACTTTATTTACCCTAATTATAATTATATGTAACCTGTGACTCAATTTACCCTAATTATAATGTTCGTTGTTATTTAACCAATTATTCTACGTGCTGTTTATTTAATGTTATTTAAAAACAAAATAATAAAAGTCAGATCCTTAAAAACCTTAAGAAGCAAACTTTATTAGATAAAACAATAAAACTATTGATTAGGCCTATAAAAAAATATAAAAATTTTTTAAACATATATATTTAAAATATTTAAACTTTGAACCATAATATTACCATAGTCTTTCTGAGTAAATTCTGACTACTCTACCTATCTACATTTTGTTCATAAATGTATTTTATTAAAAAACTGAAGTTTCTTTTTCACGTATAATTCATAAATTAACACACAAATACAATAATTTTAAAACCTTCTACCAAATTGAATAGATCAATTGATTGTAGTATCTATAATTAATTTTTATGCAAATATGAGAAAGTATTTTCTTCAATAAGACCAAAACAAGGGAGATAATGTAAATATTTAAAACTAGATAGACCAACCTACCTGGAGATGTATGGACAAAGGAACCAACAAACAAATCCATGATGGACAGAAACAACACCAGTAGCAGCAGGAGCTGGAGCCTAATGACCCACTTGACCCCTGACACATTGACACCTGGTGATCAAATAATGTTAAAATATGAAGAATATATGTCCATCTTGACCACTGACATATAGTACAAGATAAATTACACAATTCAGTATGGCACCTGGTAATCAAATAATGTTAAAATATAAAGAATATATGTCCAACTTGACCACTGACATATAGTACATAATAAATTACACAATTTAGTATGACACCTGGTAAACAAATAATGTTAAAATATGAAGAATATACGCCCCTCTTATAGTACATAAAAAATTACACAATTTAGTATGGACCCCAGACACATTGAAACCTGGTAATCAAATAAAATGTAAAGACATTGCAAAATTACATGTTAGTATTGTCTCGGCTACAGTATTGTCAACTGACAAATGTCATAAGTTGACACCTGGTACGAGATAAAATGTCAGTTAAGTAACATCAACAGCCTAATATCATTTCAGTAATGCCAACAATATGATAAATCCCAGTGGAGAAATATCAACAAAATGATTAAGAACCTAGGCTTAAGAATTTACATTTAAAAAAAAAAACAATGTAAAGAATAATTATCACTCACCTAATAATAAAATTATTTAACACACCCAATAATAAAACAACTAAATTTAAAGAACTCAATAATACAGCTAAAAAATTATAACTCACATAACAATACAAAAAATAAATACAACACTTGATAATACAACAAAAAATTTTAACACACTAATAGTGCAACAAATAAAAATAACTCACAAAAAAAAATAAAACAATTTTAACACACTAATAATACAACAGATAAATATAACTCACCTAATAATACAACAATTAACTTTAACACACAAATAGCACAACAAATAAACGTAACTCACCTAACAATAGCAAGACAACACCAAACGCAATGCCACGAGCTATCCAAGGATTATCCTGCTGTATGAGGTTCATAATAGACTCCCCAAAACCCATCACGCTCAGAGAACAACCCACAGACTAAAACCACATTGTAGAAAAAATAAGCATTCATTAGTTGTAAATTTCAAAGCTCCCAAGGCATTTTTTATAACTTGCTTTCTAAACTGTGTGTTTTCAGTTCTGTAACATTTGTATTGTTTTATAAATTGTTTAAAATAAAATGTCAGTGTAGATCATGATGAAGTGGAGAGTATCATTAATGATGTAAGTTTATGGTGCTTTATGAAAGCTGGTTGGATGGCTGCCAGGCGCTTGCCTAAATGGCATTTCACCAAACTGGACAATTGCCGAAGTGGACAATAGCCCAAATGGACAATTTCCCAAATGCAACATTTTGGGGAAGCATCTTTAAAGTTAGAACACCATTGTAGCTATTTTATGTTTGTATTGCTACCATGATCCTACCCTAAACAGGATTACCAGCAGGATAAAATACCTATAAAATTTACTGTATTGCATAGCCAACTTTTAGTTTCAAATTATTAGCAATCTATTCTTTATTTAAAGGATTACATGACATAGTGGTAGAGCACTAGACTGCTAGCAAGAAATCTTGAGTTCAAATCCAGGTTCAAGTCAGTAGAACATCCCTAAGTCCACGTAGCTCTGACGGGTACCTAACTCACGTTAGGGAAAGTGAAGACTTCTGGGCTTAGTGTTGACCACACTATTTCTTTATATCTCAAGGTCATAGAAACAGGTGAACTCTACTTCACTTGCTCCATGGACATTCAGGTTCAAAAAGGGAACTTTACTATGTTTTATTTATATGGGACTCAAAACTGGATTTATTTAAATAAAAAATATTTTAAAAACTGAATTAATTTTACCTGAGCAAAGCAGTATATGATACCTATACTGCCCCCAATCCTCGCTCCAAGAATGTGTGAGATCAGGAAGTACACGCCCCCACTCCCAACCTTGCACCTCTCACACACCCCAATAGCACTGAGGGCCACAATCAAAATGATGGACACCCCAAACAGAATTGTCACAATAGACAAACCAATGCCTGCATTGCCCTGCAGAGAACAAACAAATACTGGGGATGAAGGACTACAGCTGAATCAAGCTAAATTATAATTCTAAATGGAACTGTGAACTGTACCACAATCCAACCCTAACAAAAAGCTAAAATGGTAGCTTTTTGTTAATATAATGCTAAAAAGAAGCTACACAACCCTAGCAGAAAGCTACTATTTTGTAATAATTATAAGTGCGAAAATTATGAACTGTATCAAAGTATAATGCTAAAAAAAAGCTACAAAACTATAACTCTAAATAAAAACTATGAACTGTACACAATGCAGTTCTAACAAAAATCTACACAATTCTAATTCTAAATGATAGCAATGAACTGTACAATAATCCAACCCTAACAAGAAGATTATAATTCTAAATGTTATAACAATGAACTGTACCACAATCCAGCCCATTCTGAGGAAAATGACAACACCAAGGATGTTGATGAGGCATGACGTGAACACACCATCCCAGGTCCCAAACAGCACTGGCTGGGAGAGGAAAAAGTTGGACTTCCACCACGGTTGGGATGACACCTTTAAAAAAAAAAGAAAGTCACACATTTTACATATATTTCATTATCAGTTGTTTAGTTACAATCACAGTTTATTCTTTTTTATTATCAACATTATAGTCACAATTATTTATCCTATTCTTCTTTGTAATCAATTGCATAGCCACAATCACATAGTCTATACTTCTTTGTTATCAATTGTATAGCCACAATCACATAATCTATACTTCTTTGCTATCAATTGTTTAGCCACAATCACATAATCTATACTTCTTTGTTATCAATTGTATAGCCACAATCACATAATCTATACTTCTATGTTATCAATAGTGTAGTTACAATTACATCTAGCCTCTTTGTTTTTAAGTGTAGCATTAGAGAGAAACATACATCAAGTCAAACAACAAGGCGAACACGATTGTTTCCCCTTGATTGACTATTGAATGCCAACATGTAAGTTGCCATAAAGCCGGTTGACTTAGTCTTCAGTCTGCTTCTCTTTCTGGATGTGATCCCATAGGTTCCCAGTAAGATGCGCAACGGGAAAAAGCGCAACAGAAAAATGGCGCAAAAAAAATGCGCAGCTGAAAAAAAGTGCTAACAGAAAAAGCGCAGACAGAAAAATGCGCAACCAGAAAAATGCGCAGACAGAAAATTGCGAACACAGAAAAATGCGAAAACAGAAAAATGTGCACATAGAAAAAAGCACAAACAGAAATGTGCGCACCCCACCTTCCTACGCCAATGGGTTAGGCCTACCACCCACCTGCCAACACCATTCGAGTATCACCCCACTTATCTACGCCACATAACCATCTCAGCTAAGAAAATAGATATATAGAAATAAAGACAGACAAACAGATAGATAATAGATAGATGATAGATAGATAGATAGATAGATAGATAGATAGTTAGATAGATAGATAGATAGATAGATAGATAGATAGATAGATAGATAGATAGATAGATAGATAGATAGATAGATAGATAGATAGATAGATAGATAGATAGATAGATAGATAGATAGATAGATAGATAGATAGATAGATAGATAGGCATAATGTAATAAAACCACATACAAACAAAACATGAACTGTATAGTTTAGCTCTAGACTCAATTTTATAGGTTATCCTCCAACCCCCTACACCTCTTACTCTTACCATCCCATTTTGCCATTCAAAACGTCACCGAGGAAAAAAACAAAAACAAATCGACAACCTGTCACACCACAGAATATCGCCTCAACTCATTTGAACACAAAAGACATTAAATCTTCCAACATCCCTCCTGTAGTGACAACAAAGACCATTGATCCTAATGTCGCTCAATGGACGATCGATACTGATATAGACGGAGACGTGTTGCTAAATATGAGCTATTGTAGGCGGAATTTGTATTTATTTAATGATACAATAGCAACGGTGTATAGCGTATTTACTTAGTGTTATAAACGTGATGTTTTAGAGGTGGAAGCTAATTAATTAACTGATTGGTAAATGTTGGACTTTATTGTCGACAAGTATTGTCATAAAATATTAAAATCAGGATTCAGTATATTAACGAAAAAACTTCATATGGCTGTTTGTTGTTTTAATTTGCTATTGGGCTACAGAGGGGATGGCATGGTCGTATGACAGAGCTTACGACTGTTAACCTGAAAGTCTCGAGTTCGGATCCCGGGCTAGAGGCTGCAGGACGTCCCTGAGTCCACCCAGTTTGATTAGGTACTTAACTCACGTTAGGGAAACTAAAGCGGCTGAGCATAGTGCCGACCACACTTTACACTGGATCTGGAAGTCATTTAAACAGCTGGACTCTACCCAGTGGCGTAGCGAGGTCGGGTGTCACCCGGTGCTGCACTTAATGGTGTCACCCCCAGAGGCGTAGTGACCCTTCCCGGGGACAAACTTTCAGATTTTCGATTTGCACCCCCCTCAAGTTTTTCTTGATATATTTGCTATTTTTTGCCTTGGTGTCACCCCCATAAATGGTGTCACCCTGTGCGGTCCGCACCCCCCCCCCTCGCTACGCCTCTGACTCTACCACCTCTGCATTCGGTATCCATAATATCTTAAGGGCTTCTTTTCAATGTTGAGTTCAATTTTTTCCTGGCAAATCTTATCGTAACTTAAAACGGGTAATATAAATACACGTGTCCGTTAAAAGAATCTTCTTAAAAAAAGGGTGTAGGGCAGAAGCGTAGCGACCCCTCCCGGCGCCCGGGGACAAACTTTCAAGCAGGCGCACCTCCCCCCTTCCATATATTTTTTTATGTATAATTCAAAACTGCAGCTAAAATGAGCTTTTAGTGTTTTCCAACCCATTTTGGCGCCCCTAGAGTCGACGCCGAGGGACATATGGACCCCCCCCCCCCCCGCTACGCCTTTGGTGTAGGGTTACTGATAGTTAACTAAAAATCCACACATGGCTTGCTAATGTCCATGCTAACCCTATCCCTAATCCCAGCCTTGGTCCTACCATACACCTAACCCTAATTTCTAACCAAAAACCTAGTCGAGATTACAATACTACTAACAACCCAACACACCTATTTTCGATAGAGTCTATTATCGGACACCGGTCTCTAAACTGATCCAACTAACCTGTTCTTCCCTGTACAGTTCGTTCTGTTGACCAATGTCCCCTCCAACCAGACCAGCCTCAGCCGTGTTGGTAGTGGACGAGTAGGACTTGATCTGCTGCCCAGGTTGCGGGTCTTTACTCAGGCCAAACCTGTTCATCGTCAGGAAAACAAAACATCAGGTACAGGCTATGCATTTTTGGTCCTTACGCGACTACTTGTATGGCAAAACACAATCGAATGTGGTTTTTGTGTTATACAATCATTGTTTTTAATCGGTGTAATAATGGGCAGTGTTTCTTCCAGTTTTTTTTTCTCCCAGGGGGGGGGGGGGGGCACTTAAAATTTTAGGGTGGGGGATGAAGCGGACTAAATTTTCCGGTGGAGGGGGGGGGGGGGACACTGTTAAAAGTATATATTTTCTATGTAAATTCAATTTCGTTCCGGTGGGGGGGGGGGGGGGGGGGGGGGTCGGGGCGGTAGAATTTTTTCGGGGGAGGGGGAGATGCCTGGAAGAAACACTGATAATGGGGTAAGTTTACGAACAAATATGATACTGCAAATGCTAAGGTTAAGGTCAGGTTTAGGGTTTTAAGAACAGAGATGATGTAATGCTGGGGTTACAGAGTTACTAAAAATAGCAGAAGACCAAGAAAAATCGCAAATAATTATGAAAAAAAATTTCAAACAACGACCCCCCCTCCCGAGGTTATGTAATGATTGATTGATTGCATGATGTAACATGGAGTGATAAGCTTAAAGAAAAACTTAGCGCATACGATCTTGTATTTAACTATTTTAATCATTTTTTTTACGTTTTTTTTCATTGTCTGTCATATGGTTGTCGTGAAGAGCGAAAGGTTCTCACCTAAGTGTTCAGTGATCGAACCCAGACTAATAAACGTGAGTTCTACTCACGGAGATAAACATACACCAATATACTCCACAAGGAGGGAATGTTGATTTGTATTCGTTTTTACTTTCTCGTATATACGAAGTATAGAGAAAGTATTGTAATCGTGCACAAAAATCACTTGAAATTTTAACAATTTTCACCGTATTACACCTCAGTCCTTCATCACATCCACAGTATAGAGGACTTATTTTAATCGGGCAAAAATTATCAATTCAGATTTATCAAAATTAAGAGGTTTTATGCGTAATCCAGTCTGAAAAACTGGGCTTTGCAAATCTGTCCGTATGTCTGTGTGTCTGTCTGTCCGTGTGTAAACACGATAACATGAGTACCGTTACAGCTAGGTTGATGAAATTTCATATATAAGTATTTTATCAAAATCGTAGATCCGTATCAACTTTTGAGCGATTTCCGATAACCGGAAGTGGTACTTTTTTTACTTTGAATTTTTCAAAAGCCTATAACTTGAGTACTATTTCAGATAGATAAATGAAATTTCACATGTAAGTTTAAAATCTAATTCTCTACCTTCTGTCAAATTTTGAGTAATTTCCGTTGCCCGGAAGTACTAATTTATGCTACTTCCGATTTCTCAAAAAACTAATGTAAATTTTTAAAGTACTAATAATATTGCGCACTATTATGCACTTTTTTAATTTGGCGTTCACTTGGTGTGCAATCTTTTGTCTACGAGATTTTATTCTATTTTTAAAACTTTAAGTATTTAAAATGGATTAAAAATCACGTCTATAGCCCGAGTTCCCATCCCCTGTTGTTTTATATAAGAATATTCGAGAAAGTTTAGGGGAGATCACTCCCGGTTTATTTTTTTTTTCACACACAGACGACAGAGAGAGAGCCACCAGCTATTTATTTACTAGTGGGTTAGTTTCCAGATAGGACTGTGTGGTAGGTCGTTGCCCGCTTGACTGCTAACCCAAAAGTATCGAGTTTAGATCTCGCTTCGGTTTGCAGGATTTACACCTGACTGGTACGGAAAGCAAAGACAGCTGGACATAGTGCTGACCACGCCGAGGTCAAGAACATGAACTCTACTTCATCTGCCATATGGAGTATAGGCCTGAAAGGGGAACGTGACTTCAGTCTAGCGTATTTTAAGTAACGAGCCGGCCCGCGGCGTATCATATGCCGCTATTTAGTTGTTTTATTTTCTACTTTTCAGTAATTCATAATTTGTGAATTCGACAGTACCAATGCTGCCACTGAAAATATTTGCTTAAAAACACTATCAGTAGGTCGTTAAGGACGATAACCCCCCACCCTCCTTTCCCCCAACCACTACCCTACCCCCCCCCCCCCGTGAAAGCAGCCTCCTCTTAGTTACCTCCCCTAAGTTTAAAATCGTTTCAAACTAAATTGTCTGCCCCTAATAGCCGTCACTAAACCCGGCTCTACGATTGTAAACACTTAGCGTAAACCACAGCTCACCAGACCATGTGGGGGTGGTAGGGATATGCCTAGAGAGGAAGAGAGGAGGCTGCTAGGCGCGCTTACAGCTTGGTGTTTTCTAGGGTATCCAAGAAGAGAATTATATATATAGAAGATTAGCTGTAATCGTGTTTTTAAAGGTATTGTCGAACACTTCCTAAACTGCCTGGTCAAGACATCTGGTCAAAATGGTGTCCCAACTATACTATTATATAACGAAAAGACAGACAAGCTCTACTTCAGCTAGACTTTTGAATCTGGTTTTTTAATGTAATGGATATTGATACATACAAAAGAAAGAAAAATCACCCGCTACAGATGTATACGATAATAGGTTGCCACTGCCTGGCATTATTCTAGTATAAGTATCAATTACCCTCGATAAATACCAAATCGATACTACTTTCAGTATCGATATTTCTGACGACGACCAACAGCCGACTTGTTCGCTCTAACGAATTTTAGATCTTAGGCTTGCTATTGTTTTAGATCTTAGCCCCCCCCCCCCCCCCCCCAATAAAGTCTACCGCCTGCCGGAACAACGTGGAATTTATATAGAAAATATATACTTTTACCAGTGTCCGCCCCCCGGAAAATGTTGACAGCCCCCGAAAATATCAAGTGCCCAGTGGCGTAGCTACCGTAAACAAGGCATAGGGGCCCTTTTTTTGAAAGTTTGAGGGGGGGGGGGGGCCACTAACGCTTTTTGCATAGGGGCCCAAAAACCCTAGCTACGCCACTGCAAGTACCCCCCCCCCCCCCCCCCCCCAGAGAAAAAACTCTAAAAGAAACGCTGTTTTAGACCTTACCTGCTCCAGTCTATAGCCTTGCCCCGTGTGTCTTTCTTGTCAGCTGCACTGATCAGCTCCGAGTTTTCCAGCTCTCGCTCATCGTCCGCCATCTTGTGAGACTGTGTCCCCTTACAGATCTAGTCCAAGAGTGAGTCCTTTTAGCACCGTCCTGACAGTAGCTTGGAGCGCTAGTCTGACAACACCGTGATGCCAGTAGCCTGTTGCACTAGTCGGACAACACCGTCCTGCCAGTAGCCTGTTGCACTAGTCGGACAACACCGTCCTGCCAGTAGCCTGTTGCACTAGTCGGACAACAGCTTTTTGCCAGTAGCCTGTTGCACTAGTCGGACAACACCGTCCTGCCAGTAACCAGAAGCACTAGTCGGACAACACCGTCCTGCCAGTAGCCTGTTGCACTAGTCGGACAACACCGTCCTGCTAGTAGCCTGTTGCACTAGTCGGACAACAGCGTCCTGCTAGTAGCCTGTTGCACTAGTCGGACAACAGCGTCCTGCCAGTAGCCAGAAGCACTAGTCGGACAACACCGTCTTGTCTGTATCCCACAGCACTATTGGGACACCTGGGATAGAAATAGTAAATGTTAGATCAACAGTGCTCAATACTTTAAGTAGGCCGTCTAGCTACAGGTGGTCATGTATGTAAGCCTGCATGTTATATTCAACATTTTACTCCCACACACAGCCTGAAGCACTACACAGAAATAACTGGTACAAGCAAAACAAGAGGAAATCCTAAAGAAACGTCTCTAAATCATCGTTAAATGGATGAAAGTTGGCCTATTTGACAACTAATTTTATAGCCTATATACAAAACCATTTGGCTGCTAACCCGAAGGTCTTGAGTTCGGAGCTTGGTTCGGATTTGTGAGTGTAGAACGTCCCTGAGTTCATCCAGCTCTAATGAGTACCTGACTTACGTTGGGGAAAGTAAAGGCGAATTTTGCCCGAGGTAAAATAAAAACGCATTAACAGTCTACCCCCCCTCCCCTCGAAAATTTCCAGTGCCCCCTCGGAAAAAAAAGTCTTGAAGAAACACTGCTTAGTAGCGATACTAATAGAATTTAAATATCAACGCCTGAACCACAGGGCCTATTTTTGCATGGCCGCAAGCCACGTGATCAATATGTTTACAATCTGCCTCCCTGCATTAGCTGTGTCAAATTAGTTGAACAAGATCTGGCGTGATTCATTTTGCGATAGAAGCTAGTGTGTAACAGATCTTAGTTTGTGTACAGAGGCGTAACCAGGTTTTTCGTTGTAGGGGGAGCGAAATGAGCAAAAAAGGCGCCGAACTTTTAACACGTTCTATATACGTCAATATATTTTTTTAAGCCTCCATGTTGGCAATGAGGCAAAGTATGTGAAAGTATCTATACCCCCCTCCCCCCACATATGCCATTATATATATATATATATATATATATATATATATATATATATATATATATATATATATATATATATATATATATAATTATATAGTTTTTTTCGGGGGGGGGGGGTGTGACACCATGAGTTGCCGCACCGGATGATACACCGATCTAGCGACGCCACTGGTTAGTGGGCCATATACACTGAACTCCAGCCTTAGTATATATAGCTAAAGCTTGCCGAGAGTCCCCGATTAGCCTTTGCCCCAGGTAAATAACAATTTGATGAATGCTGTACTATGTAGTGAGAATTATCCAGTAGTATCCGTTATAACATGTGTATGTTGTGGATTATGAAATAAAGTAAGGTTATAATAAGTTATGTCAAAGATATCGAAAAGGAAAGTCGCGTTGTTTTAATTTAATGATTTCAGTGTTAATCGAGGTTTGGATTAAAGCTAGTGCGAGATTAGGGTTAGCAATAGACGCAGAATGAGGATTAACTAAGGATTAATATGGGTATGTCAGTGTAACTTATTCACTGTGACGTGTTGGGGCTAAGGTTAGATATTTAGTTTGGACCAAAGATTAGGATTATAGCCAGAGTTAGGTAAAGTAAAGTTTCCCTTTCAAACCTGTCGGTCTATGGGGCAAGTGTAGTAGAGTTCACTTGTTTCTGTGACCTCGGCATATGAAGAGATAGTATGTTCAGCATTATGCCCAGCCGCCTTTACTTTCTCTAACGTGAGTTAGGTACCCATTAGAGTTAGGTAAGCCGAACTAAAAACAATTTCGTCCTTAGCAAAATACAAGATACTATGTTGCCTGTCTTAGAGAAGAGTTCAGAAGAGCAACGAAAACCAGCAGGTCAGCGCGCGATGCCGAATCAACTGTTTTCAAGCAGACGTGAGCCGATCACAAATCGGGCCGGCAATCATCGTCTGCTTGTCAATGGAGTTTGTTGTGTCTGGTTTTCGATTTGACGTTATCCAAGTGTGGCAGGACACGCGGTAGCAGACGATTGATTGAATTGGAAAATTGGATGAAAGATTTTTTTTTACCGGTGAATTCCGTTGACGAAGTAAAAAATAAAGATTGGATAAAAATTAGGGAATGGATGAATTAATTAGTAATTAAAGCAAAGAGGATGGTTATGAATGAAGCGATGTTAATGTTTTCAAAAGGGGAGTACGCCTCGGACATATAGCAAGCAGGGGACGGCGTGGCCTAGCGGTAGCGAATTAGACTGCTAAGGCATACGTCTCGAGGTCGAATCCTGTTTCAAATCAGTAGAACGTCCTTGAGTACACCCAGGTCTGATAGGTACATATGGAAGTATTCTCAACAAGTTACCAAAGTTTCAAGGTGATAGATGCAAGGTGTAGCAATGCATAAAAGACAAAATCTGACGAAATATACTAGAAGGTTTTCATCAATGCTTTACCAATCCTATATTCTTAGATGCGTGACCTTGTTTTCTAAAATTGACTTATTTAAAAGTAAACAATGCCTGCGCTTCGATAATATTTATCGGGACACGGGTTTACTTACACTACCGCCCAAAAAAAAGCCCGGGACTCCAAATCGCACCCTACCAGGGCGCCGTCAGATGTGCCTGATTATGTTTAGTGAACGACTCTAAAACCCAATCTTATGCATAATCTGTCGCTATGTTTAAAACGGACGTAGGCGCCATATCGCTCACGGGATAGGCCGTTGCGCAAAATTGCAACCTGCCGAGGCGCCGGTGAATTCGCCTGATTCAATTTATTGGACGACTATGTCTATTACACTGTATAAAACGAACGTAGACGCCATAGTGCTCACGGGAAAGACCGGGGTGTCAAACCACACCCTGCCGGGGGCCGCCCGAGCAAAATTGAATTTTTTCCCCCAAAAACCTTTTCAAATTCAAATTTATTTATTAAAAAAAAAAAAAAAAAAAAAAAAAAAAAAAAAACGGTTACAATTGTAGACACGAAGGACTTTTTTCACATTGGCCGTTTAAACAAATAAAACAACAATTCAATAACACAAAGCAGTAACATAGCACTAAAAATGTGGAATAAAGAAATAATGTTATATAGTTATAATACAAAATGAGATTAAAAAAAGAATATAATAGATGAATGAGAAATGTTTCAATGAGTCAGTTAGAGAGGTCATTAAATAATTGTTGTTTTAGTTTAGATTTGAATATATTTTCAGATCTAGATAGCTTTATTTTATTAGGAAGATTGTTCCACAAATTAGAACCAGAGTAGGCGAAGCTATGTTTTTGGAAAAAAGTTGTATATGGGAACGGTAAATTAAGACGACGATTTAATTTTATGTTAAAAGAAAATAGGTCTGATAAGTAAGAGGGGGCTGTTTCGTGGAATATTTTATATAAAAAAATTGATTTAGTATATATTATCTTTTTATTTAATGGAAGTATTTTAGTTGTAATAAAAGAATCCAGACTACTAGACAAGCCAGTAACCAGTTTTATAGCCTTTTTTTTGTAATGATAGAAGAGTACGCTGCTTAGTTATAAAGCTGCCGCTCCACACTACAGAATCATAATCCAACCTAGATTGAATAAAAGCTTCATAAAAAAACTAGCCTGCTCCTATAGTCCAGAAAGTTCTTTCGGGAGTATTCTATTGGCTATCGGATGAACGGTGTTGAACCGCATCCAACTTTTATTTTTTATATAACGTATATACAGAAAAATTGCACCCTCCGGGTGTGGCGCCCGTAAGAAATCCAAAAAGATTTTTTTACTGAAACCTCCCCTAGGGTGTTCTAATCAACTCCCCAAAGTATGATGGCGATCGGATGAACAATGTCAAACAGCAATCGATTTTTATTTTTAAATACCGTATATAGAGAAAAAATACATAAAAGACAAGAACAAACACACACATTGCTTGTTGAAAATATAGATTAGCGGCAGTTCGCCTCACAACCCCTTTCTCAAAGTTCATACTTAACCATACTCCACACCCTTTTTACACACAAACTCCACACCTCCTCCACCCCTTTTTAACATGGCACTTACCTACTAACCTCACCTACCTGCAAAGACTAAGATATATTGGTTGTCAGATATCAACACTATCACAGAGATCGTGCACGTGAAGTACAATACATGTTTTGTATATTTGTATTATATTTTTAATCGTTTATTTTTTTTAGTGCGGACTATATATGTTTATTTATATCCTGCTATATATAGCTATGCCTTTTTTAATTTACCTGTTACCATTACTTTTACCTCTACTCTCTGATTGTACAATGTCATTAATATATTCCTATTTTCAAACATAGACGGTTCCATGTATTTCTTGTCACAGATTGAAAAGCTAATGAAAAATGAAATTTACCAGGATTACCAATAGAACCATCACCTTAATTGTTGGATTTATGATCGTGTATTGTTCGGTATTATATCTCTTTAAATGGTGAGTAAAAAAAACTACTATTGCCATGCACTTGTAAATATATTGTAACATTATTAATTAATGATATATTTTACTTTAAAATAAAACGGAGTGATCTCCACTAAACTTTCTCGAATATTCTTATATAACACTACGGGGGATGGCAACTCGGGATATAGGCAATATTTAAAACCATTTTTAATTACTTACTTTTTAAAATAGAATAGAATTTCATAAAATAAAGAATTGCACACCAAGTGAACGCCAAACAAAATGTGCATAATAGTGCGGGATATTATTAGTAGGCCCTACTTTATAAATTTCACATCGGAAATAGCGTAAACTACTACTACTACTACTTCCGGTCAATGGAAATTACTCAAA